AGTAATGAATTGACGGGAATTAAACTGGAATTATAAAATGGGTTACTGTAACATCATTTTTTGGAAGTTTGGTCTCTTGGAAACTCTTCGCCACTAACATTTCGTATTTATTAGAGTTTCCGCGCGTGTTCTGACAGTGAAATCCAAAAAAATCATATTTAATTTTTCATTGTTACCATCTGTATTATCGATTTTTCAATCCCCCCACCGTCTTCGAAGACCATTTCCGTGTTCGGGGGCGATAAGACAATCGGCTAAAAGTGGATATTTTTTATACATTAAAGCGGTTCATAAAAATGTCGGAAATTTGGTGGTTAATTGCCGGCGGTCTTCCCTTCTTTTGTGGTCGATCTTTCCATTTGATCTTCTTCGATTGCAATTTTATCGCCTTTTCATGTCCATTCAAATAATGGACAGTGGTTTCACAATCGTCATCATAATCGTTATGTGATTGATGCTTGGAAGGGGATGGGGGTTTAATGCTTGTAAAGATTGATGATTGATATAGTTGTCCTTAAAAAGAGCCGATTGTAGAGCCGAGCCGAAGAGCTGATAGTTTTCGCTATCTTTTTTCTTACTGTAACATAGTAATACCCACTTCGCCTTGCAAGCCAATTTTTCAGCCGCTTTAATCAACAGATACCTGATAATTTACCGAATGACTAAGATCTCTTCCGACCGCCTCAAAGCATCCCCTTCTTTCATGCAAATTGCAGATTACTCTTTTTTTCATATCCAATTTGTCCGTCTAAATGAAGTCGTGACTCAGCTGCGGCAATAAATTTATCTTCTCCATGATGATTTCCCTCCACTTTGATCTCATGGACCACCGGTTAGTTCTCTCTTTACGACCTCAAACTTTATGAGTCCGACTGGCCGGGAAGGGGTGATTTGCGGAAATTGGTGCCCATGTTTTTGTCGGGATAAACATGCCCTCGGCCTGACGGTGCAAAAAAACATATGGATCTGTGATTTGGGCGGAGGTTCTTTTAATTAAGGCATCAATATTTCAATATCATATGCTAAACAGTGCTTAAAATTTCTTTATCGACCGTGCTGTTGTTTTTATCGAGCTCCTTAAGCCCTACATTCATTGTTAACAAAATTTTCAGCATGCGAAGGCGGCTCATTGGGACGGCATTGAGCGCCGTCGTTGTGTTCTTGGCACTGGGTACAGTGCCAAGCAACGCCCGCCGACACAACTATTATTCGAACGGTAGGGTTGTCAAAAAAAATTATCGACTTTTATTGTAAAAAAGTTTGCTTGAAAACAGTAATACACAGTAATAATCGGCTAATTTTGCAACTGAAATAGAACAATCTGGAACTTAAATTGTCAATATTTTTAGAAGAAAACGCTGCTGCTGGCTCGGAAGACCTGCAGATCACTGTCTACCCGCATGAACTTTCGGTTCGTGAAGGTCGCGAGGCTCGGTTCGAGTGTCGCGCTCGAACTTCAGATGGCGCCACCTTCCCGAATATCCGATGGACCAAGGTTGGAGCTCCTCTTCCAAAACACGCCCATGAATCCGGCAGCGAGCTGTTCATCCCGGCCACCAACGTCCACGATGCTGGACGCTATGCTTGCGTTGCGCAGTTAAACGGTCGCTCCGTTGAAGCGTATGCGCAACTTCACGTTCAGTCATGTAAGTGAAAGCATTAAGAAAAAATGTGCAATTTTCAGCTTGCTTGACCTGTAAGCGCTCAATTAAAATCTTTCAGACGGACCTCAGACCTTCTCCAACGCCCTTCCCGCCGGTCCTAGCCATGGCTGTATGGCCGATGAGAGAGCTTGTGGGTCTAACGAATGCGTCAAGTCCGACTATGTTTGTGATGGAGAACGCGATTGCCGTGATGGCTCGGATGAAGAGAACTGCCCCACCAAACGCCATTGTGAGCCCAACGAGTTCCGTTGCAACAACGACCGTTGTGTGCAGAAGATGTGGCTTTGCGACGGAGACGATGATTGTGGAGATCGTTCCGATGAGCAGAATTGTAAAGAACGTAAACCCGGAGATCTCTGTCAACCAACCGAGTTCCAATGCGCTGACAAACGTCAGTGCGTCCCCAGGTCCTTCCAATGTGACGGAACCAACGATTGTCATGATGGATCGGACGAGGTTGGATGTGTTCAACCAACCGTCGTGCAGCCGCCAGACTCCAACCGCAGCGTGAGGCAAGGAGATCAGTTCAAGTTGACTTGTCGTGCCGTTGCTGTTCCCGACCCCTACATTAACTGGCGTCTGAATTGGGGTCCGGTTTGTGAGCCTCCACGTTGCGTTCAGCATTCGGAAGGCGGTGTTGGTACTCTCACTGTTAACGATGCACAGTAAGTCGGGGGATTTTAGATGAAATAAGAATTTGTATCTTCTAAAATCACACTAGTTGGCTAATTGTTCAGTACAATGACTATTTAAAATTTTCCAGGCCAATTGATCAGGGAGCTTATACCTGTGAAGCCATCAACGTGAAAGGCCGTGTATTGGCGACTCCTGATTGTATTGTCAGAATTGTCAACATTCCAGCTCCTCCACCACCGACCGCTCCTCCACTTCTTTCTTGCAGAGTAAGTGGCACACCGCAAATACAACTTTCCAATCCGATTTTAGGCCGGTGAGTACAACTCTCCGCAACAATCGAAGGGATGCTTGAACTGTTTCTGTTTCGGAATCACCAACCAATGTCAGTCATCCAATTGGTATAGAACAAAGGTAGGCCTGTTGCATATTGTCAACACAGCTTTTATGTTGTAACAATCGTATTTTAAGTTATTTTTGAAAGTACGATTTTCAGTTACATGCGTTGAATTTTTTCGGATATTTTCAGTTTCAATATAAGTTGTTTTATGTTATTTATGTTTGCAGGAGATGGGATGTGTAAGTGTCTTGGTGCAGTCAGTCCACCAGTCTACCAGTCCGATTTATGTTATCCTTGGTTTTGTTTCATTTTCACTAACTACTTTTTCTTTTTCTACTTTCATTTACACGACCACTTCTTCTATCGCTTTACTATCTTTCCGTACGGATTGAATGTTTCAACGCTAACCCATGTTTTCCAGGAAAAGCTCTATTTTGCCGAAGGGCATTCTGATGGAGTTGTTCTTACGGATATTGAGAAGCGACCAGTCAGCGAGCGATTCGAATACACAATCCCACAACATCTCACCAACACCGAGAGCAGTCCCGAGACCAGATATTGGCAACTTCCACAGAGATTCCTGGGTGACAAGGTGAGTGTAGCGAGTAGCAAGTATGAGGGGAAATTCAAATAAAGTCTAGAGAAAAGAAAGTTTACATTGGTTTTAAGGGAGCTGTAATCTTGTGTATAATTTGTTGGAAAAATTCGACATCTGGTGTTGATTTTACAGTTTGGCCCTTTCTCCCTAAGGCCTAAAATATTTAGGCCTTTCTGATATTGTATACCCAAGTCAAAAGGAGCAATCCGGTGACCGGAATAGACTTCAACTTAACTTTCTCTTAACCCCCCATAGAACCTTTAACGCCGTTCTAATCATGTACATCGCTTTCTAAGCCTTATAGTCCATCACTATTTTCAAACTGAACTCGTAATTTCAGATCTCCGCCTACGGAGGAAACCTTGCAATCCAACTCCAATACTCCGGATCGGGCCCAGTTTCGGATGAGCCCCTCATTGTTCTCAAGGGTAATGGAATCACTTTGGTCCATCGTCCAAGGGACAACGCCATCTTCCAGCCAAATCAACCTGTTCATATTCAATTCGAGACCTATGAAAACAACTTCCAGCATTTGAATGGACAACCAGCCCAAAGATCCGATTTGATGATGGTCTTGGCCGATTTGGACACCTTCTTGATCAGAGCCAAGCACACCGATGATCAGACTTCTACCAGGTCGGTTTTTTTGATTTTACAGAAAAATAGGTATCCATAATGTAGCTGGGCACATTGGGCTTTTTTTGGCAAGATATCACTAGAATTACATGGAGAGAAAGAAATCTTTGGTCTCATTTTTCTAAATAAAAAGTTGGTTCCAACAATTTCCGGACCAATATTTTGCATTCAAAATTTCTTTGACCTTAATTGCCTCCAGACATGGATTTCCCGCCATGATGTAAACTAAATCTCATCCAGTTGTCTTCTCCGACTCTCCTGACATTGGAATTTTATACTTGATATCGTAAAATATAACGGTTTTCGTGGCCCTAACGAGCTCGTTTAAGATTTTATGGCATCAAGTCTATGAGTTTGAGGAGAAATGCGGCCAGGTTTGGTGCAAAAAATCTACATATTAAGCAGAGTTTTTTGTTAAAATTGGAGAAGAATCAAAGAATAATGTGGGCAGTTTCTGACTGCTACTTTTCCGAATATCTTATCTACCTAGAAAACATATGAAATTCCAAAAAACAAGAGAAAACAAAATTTTTCTGGAACCATGATTTCGTAGCAGCATATGTATGGTCGTAAAACAGGTGGTTCCGAAATTAAATTCCGAATTTCTGGTTTGGAAATGAGAATGTCAAGCAGAAATTTTACTGTAGCCTTGCTTGAAATTCTGAATATCATTTATTCCCCCTCAAATTGATTACTTATTTGGGCGCTGTAACTGCTTGCAAAGGATGGAAAAAATGTTGCATTGATTAGCCATTTTTTTAACAACTTTTAACAAGGTTATTATTAGAATTGTTACCCTTAAGAGTCCAAAACACAAATCAAAAATATGTATATTTATTGAATTCTTTTATCGATAATGAGCAAAAATAATAATATAATAATAAAGACTAATACAAAAATATTATATTATCATAGCATACAAAAATCTATCAAATGTAAGAAATAATTGGCGTTGAGACTATCAGTGGGTTAAGGTTACTGGTAGGTTAGTACTCAAAATCGATAAGAATGATATATGCGTTGGTAGCAATATTTAAGAAATAAGAAGTAATTAGATATCTCCTAAGATGTTTTTACAAGTCTTCAAGGATCATCTTGTCCTTGAAATACATAAAATGAATTTTTGACGCTAGCCGGGGAATCTTGCTCTGTCCGTCAGCACCGCAACAACCATTTGGACAAAATGCCGCCATATTAAGAGCTTCAACTCTCTTTCGTGCACGTTTCCATCCTTATCGACACCCACAGTGCATTGATATTGATGGGCCAGCACTTCCCCCAACTGCACAAACAGCGCGTCCGTCTGCCTGGCCGCACTTCCCCGCTGTCGGCGGCCAGTCAAACAGTCGAATATTCGGGGCCTTCGTTTTGTCGTCCCAACCTCCGTGATTGCACCATTCTTCCTGCACAGTCGCGACGACGAAATTGGCGGCGCTGCAACGGCCGCGGAGAAGGAGCGCGTCCGAAGCAGAGTGGGGGCGGCCAGTGTGGCGGACGCGCTGGCTGCGGCGTTTGTGCATTTCCACTGTTCTCGCTTCTTGCGATATGCGTTCAGATGGTTTTCAATCTCCTCGTCGAAGATGCCCTTTTCCATCAAGGTTTTGGCGATAAGGCGGATCAATTCTTCGAGTGCTTGGCCTTCTGATTCGAATTCGTTCATCGTGACTGGTGGTGCGGCTGGAAATAGAGAGCATTTAGAAGGGTTGCACGCATTTTGTGGTAAATACATTTTTCTGTTTCTGATTCTGTATTCTACGTTTACTCTGACGATTCAATCCCTTGGTGAATTTCGACACTCATAAGGATGTTATTGACTAAATAAGGATGCTATTTTCCAAGATGTTTTGAATTACTGCCAATTTTAACTTCCCCACCCCCTGGATTGCCTACTTCCGAGAACAATTACCCAATTAGTCTTTACTCTAGGACAAATCAAGTTTCATCTTCGGAATGTTCTCAGTATGCCCTCAATAATGCCCACGGCTGCTTTTGTGGCAAATTTCTTCATTCAAACGACCTTTTGGACAATCTCACGTTTTGAATATCTTAAGGTCCCCAATGAGGAATTAGAAGGCGGTTATAATCAACGGAATGTAACATCATTATGGGTGTATTTTCACGACTAATGAGTGCATTCTTTAGCTATATGCTTGGTTATTGCTCTTTTGGGGGCCTGGAGAAGCTGAGCGTATTTTGAAAAAGCTTTCAAAACGAGATATTTCGTTGTTTAAGTGATGTGTATAATAGACTATTCACTAAAATTGCTCGGGTTTTGTCTTGAAGAAAACATTATCCAGCCACGGGGCTTCTCGTGCTTGAAAAACAAAAGGTTAGGCAAATTCTAGCGAGATTTTTTTCCTTGTTTGTGTATTCGGCCGAAAATTACCGCATACATTTTGAATACGAAGAAGAGTCGGAAGTAAAGACGTCACAATGACTACAACTTCGTATGAATGCATTCGTGACGTCAACTGGAATCCCAACTGAGGCTGAGGTGTTTTAAATTAGCTGTCGTGCAGAATATGTCATTTTTATATCATTGACCTGCAATTTAGCTAAATCTCCTTATAGCGAACTTCTAAGGGAGATATAAAAAAGACAGTGTTTTTTTTTTATTTTTTGATACATGTTGCTATTCTTCATCAACCCCTACAATTGCCAACAAACTTCAATCTCTCTAGGGACTTCAACTTTTGCATACAGTATACGATGTCTAAATACAAAACAAAGATACGACAGTTTCTGAAAAATGATGGCGAAAAACTTACAATAAGAGTGTCCCGCGACTCCGGGATCCTTCGGTTCTCGCGCGGAAGACACCGCCTCCTTGAACCAGCGGAAGCTGACGGTCTCGAAGAAGCGCGGCGATTGCGCCGTCAGCTCCTTCAACATCATGGGTACCATTTCCATCTCGTAGGGCGTTAGGTAGTTCTCCGGTTTCTTGCCGCATCGCCGATTCCTGGAGCGGCACCGGAAACGACGTAGACAGGCGAAGAGTGGGAAACACGGCGACATTACACCTGCAAATGCTGGAATTTAAGACTTTTTCCTCTGGCCTTGCTCCATTCTTCACGGCTCGTTTGAGGAACGGTTTTGCGAGTTAGTCACGAAATATTGCGAAAGTATGAAAAATGTGGAAAAAATGGATAAACAAACAAGCGGGAGGAGCGACGTGATGCGCTTTAACGACCAGAGACGGCACTTTTCATTCAAGTTGAATTTGCATCCCGTATGTATGAAACGTTCAGACAATAGAGCTTGAACTTCCAGCTGACCAGACACAGCAGATGAAAAAACACATACATCGTGTCAAGCAGATTAAAAATAGCCGCAGACAGCTACAAATGCTGGAAAACAGCGCTATTCGCCAACGACAGTACTCGCGGTTAACATTTCTACAATTACACCAATTTCCAACAATATCTTTCAATATTTCCAATATGAATGCCCAAAGAAACCACCATAGCAAGGCGTGCACCAAGGACTTCCCGACTCTTTGCGTGTATGATGTAACCGATGTAAATCCACGCCAAGCCCCTTAAAACGGGCCACTTTGCCTAATTTTCCCGAGAACAACGACCTCGTAGGAAGTCTGACGTTCAAATGTAAACACGTAGGTACCGCCGATAATATCGCATAATCTAATTGAAAGACGGCTTTTGGAGACAGGTGAAAGAACAAGTCATGGGGTATTTCGAGGGTGAATATATATGGCCTTAGCTATGTGCGGGGGGAGGACGCCTAGATTTCTGGGTATTTATAGAAGTGCCATGCAAAATTTTGGCGTTTAGAGGAAATGGAAAAGATAGAGGGATAAGCCTGCAAACGTTTTGATCCGTCTTAAGCTACCAGAAAGCATTAGCCTAATAGATCGCGCAAAAGAGATTAGGTGAGTTTACAATAGTCTCTGTGCAAAATTCAAACTAGTAAACCAAGTTTACTTGATTGACCAAATTGTGTCGTCCCAGGAATAGAAAATTATTAAATCAGTTTAAGGTAATTTCAAGTCTTTTCGAGTACTGAGAAACGCGAATTAATCTCTAATTCCGAGATACCATGAAATATTTTATTCGTAGAGCAGATTTGAGCAACCCAATAATTTAATAAGGGCCGCTCACGCAACGATTTGTTCAAAATTCCGGAGGCGGATGGGGTATAATGTACAGACTAACAGAGGTAAAATGGAACGCGTTTTAAAGATAATATTGGAAACACTGCAAGAGCGATCTTAAAAATTACTAAACTTTTAGGACAGGTTTTTGCAACGAGAAACATTATCAGCCTTTAGACAAAAAAAGCAACTCTTAAACTTCCTCTATTACACCACCCACTTGCTCTTACCTTCATCGAGTTAGTTATGGTCTCCGGTAGTCAAATAACTCCTTAAAGGTCCTCGCTTTTATCTCTGTATCCCTATTGAAAGTCAGGTTTCAAAGTAAATTATCCTTTCATTTCTGCAAAAACCAGTGCCTTACCCTGTGGGCTTATTGCTCATGTCGTGCCTTGTGGGCCGCCGAGAATCGCGTGACTCCGCCCTTTCCCCCACTGCATTTATTGGTATTCGAAAAGCGACGAAAAAGTGTTTCTAAACCAAGAAAAAGCTGAAAAAGTCGTCGGCCGAACGGAAACAACCGTCTATTTTGGTGAAACGGAAGAGGTAATGGCAAAGGCATGTATAATATAACAATAGAACGGTGTGGCGAGATTCGGAGGCTTAGTTGAGGGGAACTGAAGGAGAAGAAAATGCAGAACGAACATGGGAAAAACAACCAACGTTTTAATCTCTTATGGTGGTACTTAAAAGCTCTATTGTCACCTACAAATAATCATTGTAAGCCGTTTTACGATCACAGAAGCGCAGATCATTTTAAGCCCTCGAAATACCCATTAATTTGAGACTGATATTCTAGGATGTCAAGCGCCTAATTAAAATAAAAGTAAACCGTAATGTTACGAGACAAATTACGGAGCATGCAAGAAAAAAAATTTACATTATTATTTCCAAATTTAAGAAATAATTAAAGTACAGGTCGGGCCATTAACGTCTCCAAAAGCTACGTAGAAAACACAGCCAAACAGCCAATACTGTACGCAGTAATCAGATAAGTTTAACATTTCTCAGACAAATAGTACTACGTGGCAGCTTGTCGTTACGTCATCACGCGAAGATTACGAAAGCACAAAGAAGTTTAAAGAACGGTGTCACACGCAAGACTTTTGTGTCCTGGAAATTTGACTCAAGCGACACGAAAATGTTTTCAAGGTGTGGAAATGCATATTTCCACGCAAGGAAAGGCCTCTTTGTGACGTCGAGTTATTTGATTACAATGAAAAACATGAGGGTAGCAATCGAGAAATAAGCATAATGATATGCATGTAACATTTAAAGTAGTCATGTAATAATATAATACGTTCTGGAACGATTCGAAGCCCATGTAGCAAAGACCGCTTGCGTCCAGAACCCTCGGGCAAACAGTCCCATTTACAACCACGACCAATCCTATTATCAGTCTAAGCAGAGTCGATTTCACAACCAGATGTACACGTAAGGTAGATGTGCATTGACGTCAAATCGCAGCGCCCTAATCCAACAATAGCATTAGGGTAAATGGGGTGGCGGATGTGGAGGCATTGATTTTGGATTATTCGAGGTAAACTCGAGGTTATCTTCTCGACAGGATTTAGCCTTGAACATTTTGGATTGTCCTCTAGGTATGCTACCCATTTTCCCCTAGATATCTCGTTAATATTGGCCATTACACTTTTCGAACGCCCATAGAGTAAGTAGTTAAAAGTAATCGAAAGTCCCGGCCAGAGGTAATCATAATTAATTTGTGCGGAAGCCATCAACACGATTCTAATATTGCACATGTTTACGCGATTCCAACATGAAAAGAATAATATTAGGCGAGTTCGCAAAGTATTAATAGTGACTATAAATGGCAAAATGAATAATAAATTGAATTATATGTATGATGTTGAGAGAAGAGTATTAGTTAAGGTTTAGAGAAACCTCGTGCGGAATACAATATATGTATGTAGACGATACGGTAGCGCGGATTGAAGAGAAGGAATAGAGATGTCTGCCATCGGCAAAGACACTACAAAACTCGACTTCAACAGAGAAAATTCAAGAGAAAAATTGCCAAGCTTGCAAACTACAATTGTCAAGGATCCTTTCCTCGGCGTTTTGAAGCTCTTAGAAGCCTTTATAAGCAATTCGCTTCGAAATGCAACCCGATTATAATGATGTAAAACAAACATTGCGACATGCGAATCGTTGAGACTGGCACGGCAGTATGGCTTAAAACCCAGAACATTCGCTCAAACACATGAATGGCTTCTTTTCGGAATCCATTTAAAAGCGAGATAAGCCAAAAGCTCTAAGGTGATGAAAAGGACACTTAGTCCTAAGCAGTTGAATCTCTAAATAAGATCCAGGTGAGTTCGGATGTTCTACGTGGACGAAAGTACTCATGACGAATGAATTAACGCTTTCCTTGAAATTCAACACGATCACACGGCAATTGTAATTTGAGGACCAGGAAAAGCGACCAATAAGAAGGATATTATGTTTATGTACATTTCCCTAAAGTCATGTATTCACGGCCGAGAATGGGTTTGGAAATAGGTATAAAACACATTTCGCGGGCAAATTTGTCGATTATAATTGGCAAGCGGCTAGCTTGGTACAATTTTGTAATAACACGAAAAACGGGTTACGAAGCAAATTTGGTGGCTCTAAAATCTTAATTGCCAGCTTTAAGGGCCAATTGCAATATATAGGAAGGCAGCATAGTCGGTGAAATACAGATTGTTTAGTAAGGCATATCTTGCAACGAAAATAAATTGAAAAAAAAACCTTTTTTGCTACCATATTTTATATACCCTAAAAACTTTGTGATTTACGTCATACCGCATTGTGTAGCTTCACCCAGTTATAAACTGGGGTGTTTTGCACTTTAAACTGAAGGTTCATGTCCTTTAAGATATAGCAGGAGAAACATTTTTGGAAAACATTTTTCTCAAACACTCGAATTATATTAACCCAAATTACTTAAAACATAACACAAGGGGAAAATTAATTACTTGGCTAATCTGTTTTCTAAGTATCATAAAAGCTATATTTACATATATGGAACACAGCTAAACCGATTAATCTCACATAAAAAATAATTTACAGCAGTATATTATAATAATTAAGCGTAAATTAATCAATCTACTTTCAGCCTTGGCGATGTCAACTGGCAAATCGCTGTCGAGCGCGATACTCAAGAAGGATACGCTCTTGAGGTGGAACAATGCGCGTGCCCACCCGGCTACACTGGATTGTCCTGTGAAGACTGTGCCCCAGGATACGAGAGATCCGGACAAGGGCCGTACCTGGGAACTTGTGTTCCAATTAGAGAGCGGCCACGTCCTCAAGTGACTTGCGGTCCAGGTGCTGTCCAGCAGACCTCATATGATCGTTGCGAATGTAAGCCGAACGTGGTTGGTCCAAACTGCGATCGTTGCGCGCCAAACACGTTCGGATTGAGCCCGCAAAATCCGCAAGGCTGTAACAGATGTTGGTGCGCGGGTGTCACTGGAAACTGCGACGCGTCTTCGTTCCGAAGAGCCCAAGTTGAGGTGGATTATCAGCGCGGGGCCCAGGATCAGATTCCAGTCCAAACCAACGACATTGAATCGCCATTCCAACCAAGCGTTCAGCCCAGAGTTACTGGCTCCAGCATTGCGTTCGACGGTTTCAGCGAAGCCCGCGGCCAGCCTTTGTACTGGAAATTGCCAGCCAAATTCACCGGAGACAAGGTTACGTCCTACGGAGGAAAAATTGAGTACACCTCAAGATGCTCCGGATCCGGTGAACCAACTCCAGACGCCGCTGTTATCATCCGTGGTAACAACGTTGTTCTTCACCATCAGAGCCGTCAGCCACAAACCGCCGACGTCGAACACAGAGTCTCGATCCCAATTACTGAACAGAGTTTCACACGTGCCGATGGGCAGCCAGCTTCTCGTGAAGACCTGCTGATGGCATTGGCCGATGTTGATGATGTTCTTGTCAAGTCCACTTGTGTTCAAGACACAACCAACTCCGAGCTTCACCGTGTCAGCGTTGAATACGCCGAACCTTACGGAACCGGCTCTCAAGCCATTGAGGTTGAACAATGCCAATGCCCAATTGGCTATGTTGGTCCTTCTTGTGAGGACTGCGCTCCAGGCTACGCGCGTGTCCAAGGCGGACCGTACCTCGGCCTCTGTCAGAAATGCGAATGCAACGGGCATGCCAGTCAATGCGACAGCCAATATGGAACGTGTTTGAACTGCCAGCACAACACCGAAGGAGATCACTGCGAACGATGCGCTCCCGGATTTGTCGGAGACGCTCGCCGTGGAACCCCGCATGACTGCCAGCCGGAACAGACTCGGCCTCCATGCCAATGCTACAACCACTCTCCTCGAGGATGTGATTCGTTTGGGAGATGTTTATTGTGCGAACATAACACCGAGGGATACCACTGTGAGACTTGTAAGAAGGGCTTCTATGGTGATGCGACCCGTGGCTCTCCCTACGACTGTACTCCATGTCCTTGCCCGTAAGTTTACATCGCAATAAAGTCAGAAAGGGGGTCTTAACTAGCTTTGACCTTAATATTTTCAGTGGAGCCTCAGATTGTTTCCTGGACAATGCCGGCCAAGTTCAGTGCCGAAACTGCCCTGCTGGTTATGCTGGTCGCCTTTGTGATGAGTAAGTAATTTCGTTGCACACGAAAGTAGTTCTCAAAAAAAGTTGAAAGCTCAAACTTTTCTTTCAGATGCGCCCCAGGCTACACCCGTTCTCAACAAAGTGGAGGCCGTGATTGCGAACCAATTGGTCGCGTAGAGCCGGACCGTGTCCACTTCGTCGACAATCCCGCAGGTCAGCAAAGCTGGAACAGCAATCGCCATCACTTGGCGTCGTGGCGTCAAGGCAGACGCCGCCGCTACCGAGTGCGAGGCCGCTTTTTCCGTCACTAAAAGCTTCGGATAACTAGCTACACTACTACTATTTTTCGTTCAGTTTTTCGTTTTTAATTTTTATTTCTTCAGTTTGCTTTAATTTCAATGTGTTATTCATGGCTTACATGTCTGACGAGCTACTTATTTTGAGTTCAATGAGATTTTTCTGAGATCTTCATTTCTGTGTCATACGGTCTAACTACAGCACCAAAAAAGAAGAATAATATCCGTTTCGAACTGCCTTGTTTCTGGAGATTTGAGCAATCTCCTGTCCAGTCGTATCTTCTCACAATCGTCCTTCTCTCTTAACTAAATGTTTCGTATTAAATATAGTGTAATTGTACATCGACGTCATCTTTTTTGTTCGAAAGGTCGCAGTAAACATTTTTATTCGTTTTTCGTTCAGCTTACACATTCTCAATGTAAACGTACCGGGTTGTTGGTGGAAAGTGCACGGGATCGTCGCACTCGTTCTTTGAGTTACTGCGTCATGTTTGTGAATACTTTGTACGGTGGATGGTGGTAAACAAGATGTTATGTTGTTGTCCGGTCGAGTTTTGGATTTCAACTACTATTATTTCGCATGGCTAAATCTTTCGTTGCATCCTACAAACTGCAATGGCAACAATCATTTTTTCAGCTCATAGTTAAATATTTTTAGTCCCACTCCGAGTTGAAATCCTGGCTCCAAAGCACCTGGTAATCCACGAAGGCCAACGTGCCAAATGGACTTGCCAAGTTGTTGGACATAAGCCTGAGAATGTTGACGTAACCTGGACCAAGGTTGGCGAAGGCGAACTGCCTCCTCATGTTCGCGTCCACAATACCAACCAAATTGTTATTGATCAAGTCCGCAACTCGGATCAAGGACAATACCGTTGTATTGGAACCTCCAAGATCGATGGAACTTTTGCCAGCGATGACGCGACTCTCCAGATTAGCCGTCCACCAGCCCTCCCCGCTTCTCCCTCAACTGGCCCAATTCCTCAGCCCGTTGTTACGCCACCTCAGCAAACCGTAAACCAGCACCAAAGTGCCACGTTTACTTGCCTGGTGCCTGGTTTCGCTGATTGTGAGGTTGTTTGGCATTTCAACGAAATCAACGGGCCACTTCCCCCCGGAGTCCATCGACGTGGAAATCAGATATTTATTCCTCAAGCTGAACAGCACCATGTCGGAAACTACATCTGTACGGTCAGAAACCAATACGGCCAAGGAATCTCCAATCCAGGACACCTTGATGTCAATAAGCGTAAGTCTCCGTCAAAACAATCACAAGTATTTTTAGCTGACATGCGTCCAATTGCTGATCCACCAGTGCAAACTGTCAGCATCAATGATCCCGCCCGTTTCCGTTGTTGGGTCCCAGGCCATCCAGATGCCAAGATTTCATGGCGACCAGAACAAGGTTCCGCTCTGCCAGAAGGTGTCGAAGAACGCGACGGAATCCTCAACATTCTCCATGCCCAAAACCATCATGCTCAACGCTACATCTGTTCGGCCTCTGACCCCAGCAACCCATCTCGTGGTCCAGTTGACGCCAACCCAGTTCAGTTGGTTATCAAAGCCCCAGATGCGCCAGTTGCACCTCAAGTCGATCCTCTGCATCAAGAGGTGCCTAAAGGAAGCCCTGCCCGTTTCCGTTGCTGGGTACCCGGAAAGCCGGACGCTCAAGTCAAATGGAGTGCCCACGGAGGCGGAGCATTGCCAGAAGGTGCCGTTGATCGTGATGGAGTTCTTGAATTCCCATCTGTCGATGATCACCATGCTGGCGGTTATATCTGCTCAGTATTCAACCCAGAGACTGGTCAGCCAATTGATTCGCCAATTGCTCGTTTGGGAATCAAACAGCCACTGAAACCACAAGTGGATCCTCGTGAACAGACAGTCCCAGAAGGAAACCCAGCTAGAATTCGCTGTTGGGTCGATGGAGTTCCTAACGCGCTGCTCCGTTGGAACGTTAAAGGAGGACGTCCTTTGCCAGCCGGTGCTCGGGATGATGGTCGTGGAAACTTGCACATTGACAGGGTCAGTCAGGCACATGCTACCGATTACGAGTGTACAGCCTATGATCCAGTTGATCGTACTCCAACGGTTTCCGAACCAGCCAACATCCAACTTCAACACTTTGAGCCTCCCGTTATTGCTGAGCAAGGCCGCCCACCACGTCCAGTGGCTACTCCACCAGTGATCACCGTCAAGAGAGGAGATCCGGCCCGGTTCCACTGCGATCCTAACAGTGATATTCCAGCAGAAGTGCATTGGGGATTCGGATCAGCTAACGGACCTCTTCAAGGAGATGCCCATCAAAGCGGAGATGATATTATCATCAACGCTGCTGATGACTCTAACGCCGGCGAATACTACTGCCAAGCCACCAATAAATTTGGCAGTGGACAGGCCGAACCCGTCAAACTTGTCATCATTGAAGATGAAGCCGCCGTTCCACCAACTGCACGTGTTGAACCCAAGGTTTGGAATGGTGAGCCCGGGGAAACCCACCAGTTCAAGTGTATTGTCACCGGAGAGCCACATCCAACAATTCAATGGACCGGTCCAGGTGGATCATCATTGCCAGAAGGCGTCGTTGACCTTGGAGAGGGAGTATTGGAAATCAGCAAAGCCAAGAAATCGCTTCATGATGGTGATTATACTTGTACTGCCACCAACGAACATGGTCAAGCGTCGGACAAAGGAACCGCCAACATCAACCCATCCATCAAGATCATCATCGATAACCCCAAAACAGAAACCCCTCTTGGCCCAAGAATCATCTTGACTGTTGGAGAGCCGTTGGAGATTAGATGTACTGCTCATGGTGAGCCAGATCCAGATGTTGAATGGCTTCAGTAAGTGTAAACATTCTTGCTTCTCGGAGTTTTTCGATCAAAAATATTTACTTATCCCAAAATTTTCAGTGACCCTGGACCGGAACGTGGCGATCTTCCTGACGATTACGTTCCAATCACCATCTCCGAACAATTCATTCGTCATCCCAACATTGGTCTTGGCAATGCCGGTCGATACACTTGCAAGGGATCGAATCAATTCAGCACTGTAACGAAGGATATTTACGTCGAAGTTGTCGAAGCCACGGCGAGAACGACTGTTGCCATCATTGGTGGCTCCAACCAATTCTTCCCAACTAGTCAGCCCGCTCAAATTCTTTGTACGGCCACTGGTGCCTCATTGGTCGACAAAATTGAATGGACTCGCGTTGATGGCGGTCTTCCAGAGGGCGTTGAGGCGCATAACGAGCCCGGGCTTCTTCACTTTGACTCTTTCCGAGACTCCGATGCCGGTGAATACGAATGTCGTGCCTATAGAAAGGACGAGCTTATTGCCAGCTCGACTGTTCATGTCTACTCTGATCATCGGGCCCCAACTGATGTTGCTCATGTCGAGATTTCCGCTCCATCCGTCCGTGTGGTCAACAAAGGAGATTCTATCGTTCTGGATTGTCTTGTGCACGGTTGGTTTGGGGATTTGATAGATTTTGAGACGCTAACCCACGTATTTTTTATTTTACAGTATTTTTTGCTTTGGCATTTAAGTTGAGGTTGTGGTTTATACGATTAAGTTGAATAATGTCTTTTGTTTGCACTAACAAACTTTAGCTCGAACACGGCCGGTCGCGTTTGCGTGGTATCAAGGGGAGAACACAAAGCATTTACAAGATATTATTTGGTGTAATCGTCGTATCTTGCACATGATCAATGTGCAATCCGAGCACGCTGGTGTCTATTTCGTCAGAGCCGACTTTGAAGATGGACAAACGATAACGTCAAAGCCAGCATATCTCGTTGTCCGATCAACCAGTTATTACGGTTACGTTTGAGTTTATTTTGCACTTTCCTCTGTTTGACTAACCTTTGATTTGATTGTTGTGACACACCTTGCTATTCTTGGTTCTCGATATTGTTTTGGGCTTGTCTAACCGGGGCTCTAGAACGGGGGTGTTGCATGGCGGACACAAGCGCATTATCAAATTTAGGTGGACACGACTCTGAGCTGAAATACCGCTGGTCTTTGGCGCGCGGAGGCTCGGTAATCCGCCAGTTGGGTGAGGAAGCTCAGTTGACGATCAAGGCCGCCGATCCAACAAATGACTACGGTATCTACAGATGCGAGGTCGACAACGACGAAGGAGATACTTTGGGCAGCGCTCAGGCCGCTGTTTCCGTTGGATACGACGCTTCTACAAGTTCGTAAATAGGGATCGCTCTGGAAAATCTTGTCTTTCTATTGTCTTTTTCTTGCTGTCCTTGTTATGTCATTATACTAGTAACAAAGAAAATTTTAGATCCCGAGGAAGCCAAGTTTGAAGAAGAATCCGAGGCCGTTTTGATCTGTCCAGTCTTCACTGTTCCCGGCGCTACCGTTACTTGGTATAAGCATTCGGGAGAACTTCCAGAAGACGCCGTTCAGAATGGAAACAAACTTACGTATGATATTTTTTATTTTCGTAACATTCACAATAAGTCAACGCTCCATTAAAAACCCTAATTTTAGCATCCCACTCTTCACCGAAGACACTGCTGGACTCTACACCTGTACTGTCCAATACGGCCAAAGTACTGTGGAAGGATATGTAAACGCAAAGATCTTCGGTAAACCAATTCTTCAACTCGAATTCAGCTCGTAGTTTTTTAATAATCTAATCGTATGCTCTTTTAGTTCCTGATACCACCATTCAAGTCGTCTTGAACGTGTCATCCGAAAGTGTTCGTGAAGGAGATCGTGTCTGGCTTGATTGCGTCGTAACCGGAGACCCCACCGCCAAGATTGAGTTCAGCAAAATCGATGCGGATGCTCTTCCAGCTGGAGCTCAGGTAAATTCATTAAAAAACAATTTTCAAAATAACTGAACTTATATAACGACATCAAGTTGAGAAAACAGGATTAAAAATTATCTACGATTTACAGGTAACCGAATGCGACGATCTCGCACAGGAAAAGAAAGTAAGATAGGCGTGGTAAAAAAAGTGTGCAGTAAAGTATTCGGTGTTGTGAGGTGGTTGTGCACGCTCACTTAAATTTTTTTTAATTGGTTGATAAGGATTGCATTACATACAACAAAAATATATTAATATTTTTGGAGGTTCACAGCACGTTTGACCGTTATCTTACTGACTTCCGACAACATTAATTGCGCCGTATTTTAGGTAACTGGAAACCGGCTTCTCTTCACATCAGTGACCCCTGACGACGCCGGAAAATACCAGTGTCGCGCCCACATCACCGGAGGCTTCTTGGACACCAGCGCGCTGCTCAGCGTCGAGGCCGCGAAACGTAAGCGAAAGCGATTGAGTCGTCAGCAACGACGTCGTTTGTTGGCCAAGCGACGGCGTCATCGTCGCCGGCACTCGGAGGACGAGCACGCGGCCGTTCCTCGTCACCATGACGAGTCGATGCCGCATTCGGTGTTTGGACGCTGGTTCCACTCGCGGTAACCAGTAGGATTAGAAACATTTCTATAGACAATTCATTCGTCTCCCCCCTCCAGTCCTCCCCGGTTAGCTGTTGGCGCACCCAATGTTTCGTAGTAACTCAACCGCCTGTCATAAACTTCCCTGACAGCATCATAATCCCCTTTTCACTGCCATAATAAGCTAGCTCAAACGTTTTGGCATGGAATCCGCCGGGTCTTGGCGAAAATTGCGTTTCGACATCGTTCTGAAAACTTTGCCTCTAAGCGGTTTTGCCAAGACCTCGCGTAGCTTTCATAGTTTTCCACTTCTATCAATTCCCTTGTATAATTTGGTAATCCCTAAGGCTATTTCCCTACTTATCCCGCTTTTCGAAACTCCCTAGCCTAAGTCAAAAGTTGCTAAAGGCCATTTCCTCGGAAAGAATGAAGAAAATTGCCCGGCTTGTTGTGCTGTGATGACAATAACCCCATCTTACCAGTTTTCTTCTCCATGTCCTCGTTTTTCCTGTCCATTTTATCTGTGATTTGTCCCGAAAAGCTGATCATTGTGAAATTTTCGAAACGATTTTTCATGAAAAAATACTGCCGTGCCATTGGTTTTCTCTCTTTGTTAGAACAGTTATTCCATTCAATTCACACACACACATGATTGTTCTCTGTTTTGTATTCAAATTTTTATCTAATTTCTTTGTGTTAAAGAAGACTCATATTTTTTTATCGATTTGGTTTGTTATGAATAAATAAAGGAATTTTGTAGAGTTGAACGCTTGTTTTAATTTCACGATTGAGGCCGCTGAGCGGTCGCTTATGCTGTGGTAAGCTTTGAAAGAAATTTGACGAAGAAGCTGTGTAGAGATGTACTAACAGCGGGCGAATCTTCGTAGCCCGAAGAGACAGAGGTAAGGCCAAATTTGCCGATGGCAATTCTTGTCGCCGCTTTTGAAAGTAACAAGAATAATGTGACTTGAAAACTGACAATTGGCTTGAAAAAACCATCAGTTCAAACAGACAAGTTGAGAATGACCAAAGAGATGACGTCTTGACAATCCCAAGCATTATAGGTAGCCGTAACCGTTGGCCGCTTCCTCCAGTACGAGAACAAGGTGATCAGCCTTCCTCAGTCACGTCTTATATGGAACCAATTGATGAAATTTTAACAACGACTCAGGCGTCCTTTGCAAGGGTAACATATACAACTCCGTATACGACGCTATATTCGCTCTCGCCATCGGCAAGCGCGCAGGCCGTGGTTGGGGAGACGGCGAACTTACCTTGCCGAGCCTACGGAGTGAACTCTTATGACAGCAGAATCAGCTGGGAAAAGGTGAGAAAATCAATCTGAAAGGATGAAAAAATTGAAACAAAAAAAAGAAATGCTAATTTAGCTTGATGACGTCATGCCGTCCCAATTCCGAATCAGCGACACCTCGCTTCTCATTCCGAAGGTCAAGAAAGCGGACGCCGGAACATATCGGTGTATTGTTGACACTGTTGATGGACAAAATCATCTCGCAATTGCCGAACTGATTGTCGGCGATTATATTCCGACTTTCGATGGAAGTCGAATAATTGAGATCACTCCATTGACGCACGAGCAGTGGCAGCGGCTCGACCTTGAGGTTTCATTCCGGCCCTCGAAAGAGAATGGAGTCATATACCATGCAGAAAGACATGTTCATAGCAGCGAACCTCAACTCTTCCACAACATTGCGATGAGGAAAGGGCATGTTGTCTACACATTTGACATTGGAAGTGGAGTTAGTCGTGTTCAAAGTCCAGTTTCAATCAAGATGGGGGAATGGTCAAAGGTTAGGATTCGGAATGACGATAAAAAAGGTATGGCTAAAGACGAAAAAATTGCCATAAACTAAATAATAACACAATTTTTAGTGTCGCTAAACGTCAACCAGCAGACTAGTGGTCACTCCCGAAACGCCCCATTGCCCAACATTAAGGAAACAAACGATGGAACAGTATACCTCGGTGGGATACCCGAATACTCAGGGCACTACGATCAACTCAAGAGGCCCGATAATTTTGCGGGTTCGTATTTGAAACCATACGTAAACCATATAAGATTTGCAAAGATTTCTGAAATATGACATGCATTTTCAGGTTCAATCTCCAAACTAGTTGTTAATGGGAAGTCGATAGACATCGGAGAAAGCGCAACATCCCCGCCAGAGGTTATTCTTCAACTTTCAACCAATGAATGTTTCGAGAACCCTTGCCAAAATGCAGCTCAATGCAGCCCAGCTCATGAACTTGAAGGATTTCGTTGTCAATGCGAACCTGAGTTCACTGGAGAGTTGTGCCAATTCCGGACGGCAGTCTGTGCTAACAGAGGTAAGGCTGAGTCCACATACCTTTATGACTTTTGCTTGCTTTCAAGCCAATTGCTCAAAATTTCAGAAGTCTGTCAGCACGGCGTTTGCGTTGACGCTGATTGGGGAGAATATCGATGTGTTTGTCCGTACGGTCGCTTCGGAAAGTATTGCGAGCATTTGAAAACCGATCTCCCCCTCATAACATACGATAAGATGGGAAGAGCGAGGCAAGGAGTGAAGTTCAACGGGAAAACATCTTTTATCAGCATTCCTGCGCCGCAAAGTAGTCGGCATTTTCGAGTAGGTTGACGGGAAGCTCGAAAATTTTCATTTTCAGTTGTCTTTCGACATCTTACCGAAGAACGTGAAGAGTCCTCAGCTCTTGGCTTACGTGGCATCAAGTTATAACTCCAAAAAGGCGGACTACATGGCGCTAGTAGTTCAAAACGAAGCCCTTTATGGGCTTTACCACACCAGTCAAGGTACCGAAAGAATCCAAAGTTACGGTCGTATTCAACCCAATAAGACGCATGAGATCGGGTTTTTACATTCCGGTTCAACCCTTGAATTACTGGTTGACGGCCGCAGAACCATGCAGACATTACATTCTCCAGTGTTTTCCACTGGAACTGCTCTTTATATCGGTGGATTGGCTCCTGGAATGTCTCCAATTGAAGAACTAGACAGCTATGGCTACTTTGAGGGTTGTTTAAGCTCGATTCGAGTAAATAGGCAACTAATTGAAGTGGATTCTACAAGAGATGTGAAATCTGGAGATTTAGGCGAATGCAGTTTGAATACTGAGGAAGTGTTGGTGACAAGCTCGCCAGGTGTTGTAAGGCCCATTTATATTCCACCGTCTCGGCCCGGGAATGAATATTTGACGGTAAGGTTCCGTTTGTAATAGAAAAATACATGTTCGATACAGTCTTTCATACCAAAAAGGGTATTTTTATTTTGTCAAAACTGCGTTGAATATCTTACAATTTCAGCCTGGCGAATCCCAACCAAATAGCGAGCATTACCAGGAAAGTGTCACGATGAAACCAGACAGGACACTGGAGCCAATGGCCATAACGCATCTTATGGGCTCTGAGGACGAAAGAATTCCGCGTGTGACTGAACTACCCACAACAACAATGGAAGCACCAAAGGAAAAAACAACCATTGAGAAGACAACTGAAACGACTTCAACGTCTGCCATATTAGCTACTACTCCTTCGACCACGACAACAAGCACAACTTCTACGACGCCGGCTGCGACAACCACAATCACAATAGAAGAAGCAACAACACGACAAACACTGCAATATGACTGGACTCCACCGCCAACAACCATTGAACAAAGTCCAACTGCGACAACGCTGACCCCGATTTCAGAAGAGCCTACAACGACAGAAGGGAGTATCTGGTGGGTAAATGAGGCTCCTGCTGCCACCACTACTCAATTTCCGAGCACTGAGCCGCCAACGAATCCATCGACAACAATCCATGTGATTACCAAAGATCAGCCATTGTATACTACAGTAATCCAGCCAAAAACTACAACAACTACCGCAGAATATCCCACAAAATCCTCAACGATTTCCACGGCACCACATTCAGTTTTGCCGTCATCATACACATCTCCGCCAACCCATCATGTACTACCTCCAGATCAGACAGCACCTCCGCCAACTTCAAACCCGTACTTAACACATTCTCAGAATCTAGAAACCACCAGATATACCGAATTGATCTCGACGGATCTGCAACTAACCCCAACATATCAGGCAAAACCAACGATGGTGTCATATGAAGAAGAGGATCTTGTTTCCACAGATATAATTAGACCAACCGTAGAACGATTAGATGAAGTTAGAACAGGACTTTGCGAAGACGCGGACTGTGGAGAGCATGGGATTTGCGAAGCGGTGAATACGACTCATGTTGCATGTGCATGCAGAGATTATTACGTCGGACCGAACTGTGATCAATGTAAGTTTAAGGGTTGGGTAAAACGTCTCGCTCCTTAAAAAATGACCACATAATTTTACATGGCCCACGATAATACATATTATATTGCTTCTCATGTTTTCAGTCAAGCCGATCGAATATGCCGCCCGCTTCGAAGGCAATGCTTTTATTGTCTTCTCCGTCGATGACTTCCCCCATTTGACGTCCGAAAAGCGCGAAATAATCGAGTTCCGTTTCCGGACGACGGCCGAATACGGTCTTATGCTATGGCAAGGGCAAAGCTTGGACAACAGCATCGTCGGAGAGGATTATGTTTCGATCGGGCTGAATGACGGATTCTTGGTCTTTTCGTACGAACTGGGGGGCGGTGCCGCTCAAATCACGAGCGAAATGCCTGTCAACGACGGGAAAGAGCATTATTTGAGAGTGGAGAGGAGAGGGCGAAACGGATCGCTCATCATCGACAATCAAGAGCCAGTGGAAGGGAGGAGTAGTGGAATTTTGGCCATGTTGAATGTCGAGGGCAATATTTATATCGGTAAGATATGTAGTATGTTTTAAAGATGATTAGACTGTATTTTCCCCAAATCGAAAGGAAGCTTCTAGTTTTATTTCTTTCTTTTTTTTAATGCTTACTTTTCAGGTGGTCTTCCTGACTTGGCCACAATGACCGCCGGCCTGCATTCCCACAATTTTGTGGGCTGTATTGCGGACCTGCGGTTGAACGAGGACCCCTTGGATTTAATGGGAAATGCCATCGACGGCCGAAACGTGAAACCGTGCGAAGGATGGACCCGAAAGCGAAAATGGCTGCAGCAAAAATATCGCCGTTTCCTGCGGCATGGATAATAGATAAAACGTGGCCAAATTTTTTTAGCTGTTAATCTATTTGTCTGTACATATTGATGTGATTACATTTGATCTGTGTTTTTTCGACCTGGCAATCACTCTTTTATTGCTCGTTCAAGTTTAATCTTCGTCTGCCAACAAGTTTATGTAATGTATTAAACACGACGTTAACATTTAACTTGGTTAAAATGCCAACTTCTTCGGTTACAGATTCTGGGATGGAGATCAACAAAATGAGATTAGATTATAGGTTTTTCGGATTGTGTAACAGTGCAATAAGATCAGACTGTACAATAGAAGAATTAGAAGAGTTAGCAAATAATACAGCTCTAATTTTTGGTAAATACCAAGGTATGTTGTCAGGTTTAAGTAGAAATTTACACTATATATAGAGATCACAACAAGGAGCATAACTACAAAATTGTGCTTTTTCAGAAAAGTTTGCAAAAAATGCCCATATTTGGGGTGTAGGCGAATAAATTTTTTAAGGCCAGCACAATACTTGGTCTGTTATTGGTGGAAAACAGCATTTCCCCATTATGTATCTCACCAATGCGGCGACAATTTATGCCACGAAGTCACCGCACTCTCCGGGTGTTCCAACGCTTCTTTCCATTGTTTCGCGCCCGATTCTCTTCCCAACAACCCCACCACGCAATGACCAATCTCGTCGTTGCTGCTAATTGGATCGTAATCCATCACCGAGACCACCAAATTGATCTCCTTCTCCAGTTTCTCCTTGTTTGGGACGGTAAAAGAGAAGATCTCGTTGAAAACCGGCGCAAGGGTCTGCGGCTTCACCGTGGTTTTTCGCTTCTCCAGCTTGGAGCCCTTCTGCACTAGCCATAGTTTGACGTAGGGGTCAGCCGTGCCAATCTTTTCGCGGTTCGGGAGATCTTTGGCTTTCACCAACGAAACATTCAGTTTGTTGGATTCGGGAAGATAACATAGGGTTATCATCACTTCTCCGGCTTGTTCCTGCAAACAAAGGTTTTTTTGGAATAGCTTTATTAACGTTAGAATTTGGCCTGTCAGAAAAAGACTCCGTATAATTTTTTGTAGAAATAGCCTAACAAAAGCCTGAGGACTCACCCGATGAACAGTCGGTCGTTGCAGATGCTTCCAGTAAATTGGACTTTTTTCGAATTTCACATTCTTCATGGGCAACAAAATTTCTCCGATTGGGTCGTCGGCGCTGAAGCGGTCATAATCCATGACCTGCATTACCATGGTCATGTCATGCAACTTCTTCATGGAATGCCCTGAAATTTGTAAGCCATGAATAATCATCTTCAAACCAAATCATCGTATTTTTTTCTTCACTTATATTTTGCAACTTTGGTTAATATTTCGCAAGTATTTACTATGTGTGGCCGGATCCGTGGAAATCAGCCCATGCGCCGTCGTCCTCGAAGGATTTATCAACCCCCGCCGGTCCGCCAAGCTCAGCGATCTGTGGCCGGAGCGGAGATGCTGGCACGAAGGCGAAGTGGCATGCCTTCTCCGATGGCCGGGAACATGCAGAAAGCCGTGCATCAAATGACATGCGGCCAAACGATCCATCCTAATGGATAATATCAGATTATTGCGGGGTTATGCGAGCTGATATAATCGCACAGCGGAGTGAGAAATCTCTAGGACATCGGAGATGTAACAAATTAAAAAACGGGAATATAAATGTATTGCTATGGCTTTTTCTTATGAGGAGGCGAGACATCATCTATCTTTAGATTCAGAAATAATTGTAAATATGATTATCGGACTGCTAGAAACAAAATGGAAGTAAACCCAAGACAACAAGCTGATGTATGATTGTAATATAATACATAAATGTAAATACCAAAAAGTCAGCCGATGAATTGTTGGAATTCCATTCTAAAGATATTCACCTCCTCACAATACATATAGCATCAAGTTCCTTCAACCTTAATTTTAGCGCAAAGCAGAGTAGGCCGGGTGATCGATATCTATCGTTTACCAAAGTAAAATGAATCAGATGAAGTATATATTCCAAGCAAGTTTTTTTATATACTACAGTGTTTCCAGCCCCAAAAATTCCATTATATTCTATCAAAAGCAATCCATGCTCCTGTCAATCGCACCCTCCACACATGTTAGCCAAATCCGAGCCCAAACAAAGTCAAGGGCTTTGAGCTCATTCTTAAAACGTTTGTGTCCATCTTTTCTCACTCGTTTTCTCCAAACTTTGTCCCCAACAATTTGCATCCCAAATCCCCAGCCAAATGAAGAGAGCGACCAAACGCGCATCCTTAAAGCCCTGAGGCGTTCTTCGCAGACTTTTAAATTTTATTTTCCCATAACATTGAGATCGGGCCGAAGATTATGCTAAATCGGCCCGAAGCGATTATGCAAATCTCAGTACAGTTGAGGGTTCAAAAAAGTAAGAAAAGTGTATGCAGGACGCGTTAAGCTTAGAGCATGGGGATTAATTTAGTAATACTGATGTGAAGCCATTAGATAAATGGTTGTAAAGTTGCGCGCAAAGCAGTAGAGTTTTCAGCTTATCCTAATTATCGAAGAAAACTAGCAATGTAAATCAGTGAAAGAGCAAAGGGTTACAAGATACCTAGACGGGCAAAAATGTCTTGACATGACATGTCTACGCAGTGCGCTGTCGCGCGAAAAACGTGCAGCACGGCGACGAGTAAAATTCATCGATTAGTTCGCTAACATAGTCTAAAAAACACTTTCAATAACGAAACCCTCAAGAAGGACTTGAAAACTTTTACCCACCGATTCCAATAATTTGGACTCCTTTATGACTGCAAATGTCGAAAAAAATGGCCGGAGAGAAATTCAAGAAAGGGTCTCCAATTACTCAAACATTCAGTAATTGCCAACTTGTTAACACGTCTATATTTGGCTCATAGAATATTTATGAACCTCCTTGCGAAACTAAGACATTTTAGTCGTATAAATTGCGGCTATACAACTTTTGACTCAAGCAAGAAATGTAAAAATTTGAGGTAATGGTCACTACCTTGTGACAACAAGCAATGATTTGTGACAGGATAATAGTGGGCTGCTATCGTAATGAACGGTTGTATGGGCAAAACAAGAAAGGTGGAAGAAAAGAAAAACAAAGCAGGTTGTCAAATACACTTGGGACACCAATTTTTCTGTTTTTGCATTTTTACTTCCGGTATGATTTCTCCATTATATATGCGCAAAATAATTTCTACACAAACAATAGCTGTAGGAAAACGAAGAAGTGTGACAAAACTTTGCAGAACTCTACTCGTATATAAAACTTATATATAGACTCTTTATATAGGTATATATATATATACGGGAATAATTTAATCTTAAACTTTTAGCCACCTTCGCCAAAATTAGAGCTAATCTTAAATGCTCCAAAACCGCATAAATTTTTCCATTCTGCCCTTTAAACTCCGTTTTCCGACCGGTAAACTTCCCTTTGTCACGCTAATCCCTCAAGAAAGTTTCACCACCCACAAAGCAGAAACTATTTCGAAGAGATTTGGGGAAGGGAAAATAAACAAAAGTTAAATGAGGAGCCCAAATAAGCAGGGAAAACGGCCGATGCGCGACATCTTTTGATGGTAAACAAGCCAAAATTTGGAGATGAGTAGAGTCCCGGAAATTTGAAGTGTAAACGAGGCCGCTACGGTAAATATCCATTGAATTTGGAGGAGTTGAAAAGACGGACATTTTTGTAACGGGTAAGCAAGGTCTTTACATTTTTTACAAATAGGCCTCAAAATTCCAGTCTGAAAAGTCGCTTCGAAAGGTTCTAGGGTCTATCCGGGATTGAAAGATTCGAAAAAGTATAGAAGAAGGCTGTCTTTATTGTTTGAAATGCGCAAATCCAATAAGGGAGAATACTCATTTCCGCGCCCGATTCATTTCCTCCGCTTTTATGGCCAAATTTCAATGGAAAATTTCACCGAAAAGAAGGGATCAAAAATGAGCTCCTGTGAATTCTTGCGGTTGAATCGTACTACATCTTTTATTCTTTGAGTTCATAGACTTTTTGCTGTGGGCAGCGTGCACAAACGCCCGTTTTGCGACATGTATTTGATTTTTTGCAATTCAAAAAAAGCGGGAAAAACGCAAGTGCGCCGCGAACAAAGGCCGAAAAAAGGGCGCTACGAGTTTTCGGGTAAGCGACAGCTCGGTTCGAGGATACTATGGATCGCGTCAGTGCGTCGTTGTATATATGCATGGGGGAGGCTAGGAAAAAGCTTGGTTAGTAGAAATAATAGTAAGATTGATCGGTCCTAGGATAGCTTATAACCTATTTCGAGGTATTTTACATGTACTCACATCAATAATATCTAGGTAAAAGTAAAGTATCTTCGTTTTTACCACAAATTTCGGTCTTGTATATGTTACAATAGCTCAAGATAAAGAGAACTAACGTTAGTGATATATAAAATTTGAAAAATTGGACATGTTGCAAGTCTTCGCCGACTCTCCGCCGAGCCTTCGCCTAGTGTTCGCCGACAGTATCGTAAGCGACGTCGGCCTTTTCTACAATTTGTATAAATTTGTACATAAACTTTTTAGCAAGCACTATTCCGTTTCCCTTTTATATACTTCGAAATATTTCCCCACCTTGGAAGCTGAGAATCTGCTGGAACTTCGGATTCAAATTTCTGTGCATCACCCGTGTCTTCTGACATTGATCCGGCTCTTCCAGGATCCAACACACCACATATGGATCAGAGCTGCCTGAAATAAACCCATTTGAAAATAACGTTGATACTCCCGACCCTCGTTTCTGGTCAAAGGAATTCGGCCTACTAAAGTAAAGCCTCAAATCGAGATAAATTTATACATGCTTAGGGCTAACGGTTAGTTTTGGTTCAAGATTAATTATTTATTTACCTGTGAGATCTCTGACTGGAAGATCAATGGCTTCCAGAACATGCAAATACAACGTCTCGGAATCGTGGTTGTAGCTAATTGCAAAATTCAGCCGGCCTCGGAACTCTTCGACTCTTTCCGGCTTCAGCTGATCAATCACATGTTGAGACTGAAATTATGTAAATTTAAAAGCGTTGAAAAAATTTTTTTGATCGAGAAATCAAAGGGATACCGTTCTCGCGGCGAAGCAAAGGAATAATTGAAAAACTTACACTGCTCTTCCACGGCAATGCTTCTTTGACCTTGCTCTTCAAACTCGTTTGAGGTTGAATGGGATTCATAGTGACCACCTCTTTGAGCCGCGATTCCACTGGCCAATTTACTCTTTTCTCCATTTTCAAATCGTCATATCCAGCGGGGGGAAGGTCCAAATCAAAGGTCTCGTACTGTCTTCGATTCTTGAAATAGGTAGCCGCAAAAACAACGAACATTCCACCCATAACGCTGGCCATGCCAACAACATAATAGATAGGAATGGTCACTTCACCATCCAAGAACATCGTCAGCCGAAAAAACGTGTGTTAACCCTGGAAGAAATTCAAAATCTATTAAAATAAGAATAAGAAAAGCCTTTGACGATAAGCTCTTAATAAGTATATATAGCAGCGCGCAATGATCATATGTGTGGCTATGCAGAACACTGGTGTTTTAAATAATGCTATTATGACCAAAAAACATCTTCTTTGAAAATTAAGACGACTCGGGGGTTTCAATTTGTCTAATCTCATTTTATGGAAGAAAGGGAGACGCTGGTCATTGCCACTAGAGAAAAAGTATTAAAGTTGTGAAAGAGCCTAAATGACCGGGTTAGCAAGCAAGTGATCGTAATATAAAAAGCCGGCTTAACAAAAGTTTTTTTCTCAGGCATATCTTCAGGAACAAGCAAAAGAAACGTAGCACATAAGACAAAAATATAAAAGATATGTCTTTTATGACGATTTATTCTTACGGCAAGGCGATCAGAAATTAAAAAGTGTGCTAAAAGCAGGATAAGGTAGATTAGCGAAGGAAAAGGGCACACCGAAAAACAGGCTCATCCCATATATCATTCAAAAAAGTACAAATATCAAGTAGGTGCAATTACGAATTATCGCTAAACGGATTATCGTTTCACAATCATTTTACTGATTTACCGGTTATTGCTGTTTATATATTATACTAAGGGTTTATCAAATATTCTTTTTGGCAGATAAATGGGCCAAAATTATGTATCACTAGTTAGCAGCGCGGCAATCCCTGCCCGAGACAAAGTTCAGACCCTCATCCGCATCAGGTTGTTTTTTTCGACAAAGATGGGACTAGACATAACAACTTTTTTCCATGCAATGAATTATGCGTGTTAGTAAAAGTGAAATAACAAACACTTGGAAGATTTATAATTCCTTACAAGGTGACAGAAGAAGCATCAAAAAACTTTTCTCAACAACGCAAGCTGCTTGGAAAATTTATGCGGTCTAGCAAAAACTTTTAAAATATAATACAACAAATTTCATGCATTTTAGATGAGTCTCTGTGTCAAGAAGTATGCAAAAAACCACATCTACTAGGCGGGCCGAAAGTCTTGGTATGATTTTGCAGCACTTTTAATTTTTCTATTGGCGCTTTTTACAACACGATTTTCGAGCGACACTGCACCATTACATATTTTCCCGACTGACTGACAGTAAGAACGCCGTAAAAATAATCCAAGCAGTAATACGCGTGTATTTATAACTCCGAATAACTTGCAGCTTAATCCGACAAGAACGATCCGTGAATTCTGCAGACGTCCCATAACAGCCCGCTGAATGCCCTTGCAATGGCATGCACTTATAGGAAGTGATAGCAAAATATTACACGTCACTTTAAGGCATAGTTTGCAAGTCAAGTCGCCACGTGAATTAAGGTCACATAAAAAGCAAAAAAATGCAAAAATGTGAAAGCATAGAAGATGAGATCACTCCTGTCAAATGAAATACTAGTCGCTCCATAAAGTCCTGACACATTTGTCGCGGTGTGGCGCGTGAAAATTGGAGTGAGCTCGCGCGAAAGTGCATGCTGAGGAATTGCAGGACGTGCGCGAAAGAAAAATGTGTCAGGACTTTATGGTGCGACTAGTACGTCCTGCAACAAACGGCTTGGGAAACTCATTTAACTTTACTTTTGATAACACCCAAAAAGGGACCAAAATACATACCCGAGATAATCCTCTCGAACGATATATGTATTTACATTACTTTAAATGGGAAATTCAACATGAAAGTTTTGAAATACATATGAAAGTTGACAAATTTGGAACTAACTGATTATCTTGACAAAACCACTATTATATCATTAAAGTACCATCTAAAAAGGATAATTTATATATTATACATGTACATAGTGATTCATCATAGGGCTGCTATTGCAAAGATCCAGTGTTAATTCAACCGATCAAAAAACTTTCTGTCGACTCCGGGAATGACTTAGGCAGCCAAACAGCATTTACAACACATGTAGTACAAATAAGAGGATTGCCTTCGCTACGGTGTATGGCAAAATCGGATTTCTGTGTAAAACGCGCCATAATAGTCTTCAATGTGCTAGTAAAGTTGTAGCGACCGTTGCGACATGTACTATCCTTTCTTAGTACATTAACACACAAAAATCAGCAAAAACATATTTTTCAAATAAGCCTCCCTGGAACTAAGTAGTAGTATATGATGCAAAATATAGACAAATTGTCGGTTCCGCCGGTTTTTTGGACGGCCAAGAAACGGAAACAAACTGCATGAAAACATCGTAAATTCAACTGCACAGTATTATTTACAACCTATGTTAGACCATAACCCACTCACTCTCTCACATGTCCCCATCATTCGTACAGGATTTACACGACAAAGTTGACATCAGCCACGCAGAGAGCACAGCCGACCTCCAGACTTGCGCCTTCGGCCTTCAATTATATCGAATTCAGCCACTTTGGTATTCAGATTTTCCCTCGATGTCTTCCGAACATATTTTTTCCCCATTTTCTCTTGAATTTCACCATTTTCGGCCTTAATTATTAATGCCTTCCCATACCGTATACGGTGGGGTCTACGGGGTTACAAACATCAGCGTAATTGAATATTTGAGCGGCCTGAATTATCTTCCAAATGACAAATTCTGTGAGGGCCGCGGTCTCGGCGGAAATCCCATAGCGTGACTGTACGGATTCGAAGGTGTGACGGACAAGGTGGCTTAATGCGGAAGGGCGTTCCTGAAGAGATGGAGAATCGAAAATTTCCGGGTTGTAATAAATTTGATGGCAATCGCTTTAGCGAAAAAATTAACCAGGCGCATAGAGCAAAGCTGGAACAAAAGAAAAGTACCATAGCCTATGATCATGTTGACCACAAAGCATGTACTAAATTCTGTCACATCGTACGTTTCCACTCCTTTGTAAAATCATCATATCTAGTAAATCTCGAGAAGAAATGATTGCGTGGGAATGCGAGAAATCTCCGGAAGTCATTTTCCTATTTATGGAATTTTCAAATAAATCTCGAGAACTTTGCCTTCCAAACACCAGACGCCCAAACAAAAGTTCCGAAGGCATAACGGATGACACGATCCAAAGGATAGCACTTTGCCAAATTGAAAAATAATCATAGGTTTATTTACAACCATAAGCGGCTTATTTGCATGTAGCAAGGGATTCTTAACATGGAGAAAAATCTGATATCGGAAATAGACCTGTTAAACGTGAATGAAAATCCCTGCCACATATGATGTTGAGCAACACACCCCAGAAAAATAGTATCTAAACTTCCTTAAGCACTTGAAGAATTCTACAATGTTTGTTGAATGATGTGACTGGAATGTTGTAATTGTATTTATAGCAAAGGCGTTTGCTGAATATTAACGCCGCGGGATCTCCCAACTTATTGAAAGTGTAATCAAAATAATTGGCCGGTGTTCCGTGTTCCGCTGCAGGAAGGTCAATGCAATAAAAATGAGCGTAATAAAAAGAGAAGACTACGGTATCACACAAGATTTTAGAGGTTAAGAAATTAGAAAAATTAGGCTATATAATGCGATTCACAATTGATAGGCGAGACACTGACGTCTAATGCGCTTTTTTCAAATCGTTATCGCACTTTTTTGCATATCATACTATACCTTAGTGAAACATGCTTCTAATTTGACGGGTTCATCTCAACAAACATTTTCGCAGTGTTCTATCTGGAGCGGAGTTTCAGAAGCGCGGGGAAAAAAGCTTAGTCACGTGCAAATACGGGACAATCCAGGAACCTTTTTTGGACGTTGGAAACCGGAAAAGCGAAAGGAGCGTTGGGAAGAAGATCACCGTGATCCTCGCGCGGATTCTCCGAGCTTCTTTGGGACTTCCGAAGCTATTCTGTTCTTAAACTTTGTTTGGTGTCTAATCGATTTTCTACTCGGATTCGGCAGCTACAACTACCAATTTAGCAAGCCAACCCATTGTTCGGTGTGCTGAATAGAGATTTGTCAAAAGATAGACCATCAACAAAGTCTTTTTATTAGCGCTGTTTACATATATTAAACTAGCTTTCATCTACCCAAGTTTCAATTTGCCAGTGATCGGATAAACCTAAACGTCGCCCTAGGCCTTAATTTATGAATGCCGTTGAGGTTCTGCATGTCCTTCTGGCGTGTCTATGGTGCTATGTGGACGCGAAGAAAGCACCAAAACGTTTCCGTAAGTGGTTTTTCTCTGCGACTTCTTTATGCGTTCCATTAAATGTCACGCCATTTTTATTATGCCTTTATGGGAATGGCGCGTCGAAAATGCGTTACGGATAGAGACAACAACAAGAATTGTTTGCTTTCTGTGAAAAAGACTGCAAGAGATTTGATAACCCAGCTGAAAATGATATCAAATTAAATGCCAATATGCCTAAAAAACATCTCTTAACAACCCATAATTTCTCAACCTAAATTTAGATCAATATCTAGACTATGGCTATGTTCCGGAGGATCCGAAGCCGGTTGTGATGACTTCAACCCATGTCCCAGTAACTGACGCCGGCCCTCAGTTATGGCCCTTGGGGCGGATCCCTTTCATCGATGATCCGGATCTAATAGCCAATGAAGATCAAGCCGTTGCGCTTAACAATGCACGTATGGACCTACAAATTCGGACGTGTGTCAAATTTGTGCCAAGAAAAAACGAACGTGATTACGTGTATTTCACGGACCTCGGAATGGACGTAGAGTAAGTGAGCAGGCAATGCAATGAATCTTCTAGATGTTGGAACATGTTTGAGCAAAACCATGGTCATGTCGCTGTGAATGCGGGACCTTCATGTTTAGCCCCGATGAAATGGCCGTACAAACCACACCAAGTATTTTCCGATTGTGACATTGAATATGTGAACCATTTGTACAACTGTCCGCGAAGACATCGAAAACACTCGCCAATTTGTCCGGCCGGAAACACAATCATGGCATTGCCACAGTAGGTTTTAAGAGCGTATGGGGACACATAATGCCTTCAAATTCATCATACTGTATTCCAAGTTTATGTTCTTTCTTCCAGGCCTGTAGTAGACACCCCAGAACCTCCAATTCCCTTGCCCCCACCGAGCAAGAAGAAAGTCAAGAAATCCAAAACGGCTCATACTCCGTTCCCCCCTCATATTGAGTTACCAACTCCACCGCCTTTACCGTCAACATCAACTTCAGGACAGCCGTCTCCTTTACCGATGGAATTGGAAGTTTTCACCTTAACCCCGACTCCAGATCCAACGACGACGACGACTATTTTAACAACCGAAACAACAACTACAACCACCACAACACCTCCAATAACAACAATGGAAACAACGGTTACAAATACGTCTTCGGAGGCAACCACAACTGAAACCACTACGACAGCAGCTCCTATTACAACGCAAATGGTCCCCGAGCCGGAGCAAAGCAACAACGTTGGAATCAGCCCGATGAGCTCGTACCCTCCAACACCTCAACCAATCACAGCTGAGGTCGTTGAGAACGTCTTCGAATTTACGACAGAGCTGCCTACGGTTACTGACGAAGTTAGCGAGCTGATTCCGATAGTTCAGACCACCCATATCAAGGCAAAGATGACAACTCAAACTTTTGCCCAAAAAAGCCAGGCAGGAATCCGCGGGAAAATCTCGCACAAAGACGGCTTAAAGAGCTACAAGATGAAGCCTATTCCAATGGATATAATGGATGACAGGCCTATTGGGACCTGTGGAAGCCCTTGCAATTACACAGGCAGGTTTTTATGTCATATGACGTGATTCGCGGCTTCGCCATTTCAACGTTTGTTTAATTTTAGGCGGAGTCATTCCTCTTCGTCGCTCATACAACGACAAATTGGGGATTACCGATCATTTCTACACCGAGGATCTGGTTGAGCAGAAAAATAGGGTCCTGGACGGCTACTTGTTGCAGAGTGAGTCACTGAAGAAACGTTTTATTTATTCAATAATTTTTTTCAGCTCCAATGGGTTACATTGGGAAGTCATCGAACGATCCGTCCTGCACATGCCTTAGACCATTGTACCGGCTATACAACGAATTCCTAAGTAAGTTTCAACGAAAAGAACGTACAAGTGGTACGATAAATTACGTAAATTTTGATACATTGACCTTTTTCCAAAGAATTTTAAAATCAAACAAGAATACTGCGAAGACATCTTCATAATGCAAACAAAAATCGGAATAAAATTAATGCAAACAGTCCACGGGATACGGGGACATCCGTTTTCACACATAATTTTTATATTTTTAGAAGACCATCTTCTCACATCCCGCGAGCACGAGAAAGAAGTTGCGGAAAGGATATTGGGTTACAAATACGAGAAAGTCCTTGGGTTCTGTACAAAAGAGCCGGGCTGCGGCGCTTATCTGCCGTTATATCGGTTCTACAACCCAATCGCAAAAGGTAAATTGATTGGGCAAGAGGCCGAGCGTTTGACGAGAGCCGCGAATAGTTGAAGCTAAGACATGATGTTTTTTCACATAAAATTTCCAGATCATTTATACACCGTCGACGAGCAGGAAATGCAATACTACAAAAAGCATCCCGAGCATGCGTATGGCTTTGAATACATTGAATGCTACGTGTGGAAACAGCAACAAGTCGGAGCGGACTGCCCTCTTCAGAACCTCGCGATCAACAAGGCCGAGTTGGCACAATTGGCATTAATGGGTTGGAACAACACATAATCCGTATGGGGCCGTCAAGTGCGACCTCTAGAATTCGCTTAAATTTTTCGCATTTGGCGGCAAAAGCTCAAATTGTTACGTAATAATCAGTAATTTTTCGTTATCACATCATTGTCACGCCGGTTGTGTCTGTATAAACTCAGTGTGTAATAATAAAACTTGTCGAAACTCACGTTGTTTTGGCGACTGACTGCGATATCTCGTCCCGCTTCAAGGCCCTTTCTCAAGTCGGTTTACAATGCAAATCCGCATACTACAACGCTAGATGGGAGGTTCGAGGGGAGAGAGGGACAGATCGGTGAAAGATTATCAGTTCACGAATATGCTGGCGAAGATTGTTGTGCTTTATATTTTTTTAAATTTAAGTTCCGCTTGGGAGCGGTATGAAAAACCGCTGGAAACATTGCCATTGAATAAGGTGAGCCCACAGTCACAAATTTAAACCGAATTTACTGTAATAATCGTGTCGTAGCCCATCTAATAATAATTTCAAGAATGGTGTCTACGAAATCAACCTTACAGTCACCAATATGATCTCAATGACTCGAATAGCCAGCGATGGACAAATCCAGGTCATCGATTATGATCCATTGTCAGTAAGTTGTCAATACGGTGTCGCTTTTGAGCAGTGCTTTCTTTAATATGCCTAAGCGGAAAAAACCGTAAAAATGCTGCAGGAAGAATGGAGTCAGCGAGACCCCGATCGTTCAACCCCTTGTGATGCTGGTTGGCCAATCTTGAACAAAACCTCGGGTCTAATGAAAGAGACGGTTGAGTTGCATGGGCTGATTCAGCATACGGGAAAACATGTCAGAGTCGTGACATTGAACGGTGAGACGCCAGGGCCGGATATTCGAGTTCCTCTCGGCGGAGAAGTAATTATGAGAGTAATCAACCGATTGGATTCCGAGGCCATCACTCTTCATGTTCACGGGATGGATAAGAAGAATATGTGGTACACAGATGGAGTGGCATTTGTGCAACAATGCCCTGTGACGTCCGGATCCAGTCATAGCTATCGGTAGCCATTACACGTTTCTTTGATGTGAAATTGCTTTTGAAGTTTCGAATACAAATTCCTTACAGATTCATCGCAGATACTCCAGGGACCATGTGGTACCATGGTCATCTAAATAACGACAGAGGGGACGGCTTATTAGGAGGATTTGTTGTTCAAACAGAGGACGAAAAAATTAAAAGGATTGATGGGAGCTTTGTGGAAGCTGAACGGGAATACATGATGATATTGCAGGTAACATCGCTTTCTAAAGTCGACGCTGCTTCAAATTTAACATTGATCGCTTCTTAAGGACTGGGCGGAACTCGTCTCCGGCGAGACCTGGGAAATGCATGTGCATATGACAATGAAGTGGGTCGGTCATGGATTTGACGACGAGGCGCGACAGAAATGCTGGGCTCCCAAAAGAACATACGACGGATCAAATATTGGAGGATCGATTCCTTTAGCGGCTATTTTGGTAAACAACAAAGGATGGTATAATCAAGAAGATATCAGAAACCGACCAGCTCGCTTGCCCTTGACTACATACCAAATTAAGAGAGGAGAACACCAAAGATATAGGGTAGTCAACGGAGGAGTTAGTCAAGGATTGATGGTCTGGTGCGAAGGGCATCAAATCACAGTGATCTCAGCCGATGGTGTTGATGTGGATCCAGTTGTGGTGAGAATATTTGATACACAAAATTTGTGGCATCCTTTCATAAAAAAAACTTTTGAACCTTGGCTAGTAATCAACTCGTTTTAGGTTGACGCCCTTATGGTATTTCCCGGGGAACGCTATGACATCCATATTCAAGGGCTCGCAAATCCCGACCGAAAGAAATATCGTTTTATTATTGACACTATTGAATATTTTAATTGGGATTGGACTGTTGGCGATATTCAAGTTGGCCTGGCCAACCTTGAATACGAAGATGCTGATTTGCCGGATTCCAATACAGTAGACTTTAGCCACTCTCATTGCAGTGCGACTAAACGATGTGTGATTTTGAATTGCCCTTTTTTGGATTTCAAAAAATCTTTGAATTTCACTTGTCTTGGTGCTCACAAATTGCAAAATGCAGAGCAAATCGAAGGCGACGAGGATATGTTGGAAAGGAAGATGTTTCGAGACGGATTCAAGGTAGTTTGATTCCGATTACTGAGCAGTAACCACTTACATGCAGGAAGTTTTTGCCAATATGCACTTTGACAACCACATCGACGGGTATATGTATCAGTCTCCGAAAGGAATTCCGTACTACCACTACGGCCATATGAGCTCAGTTGCGCTGGCTTGTGATCCGTTCAAGTGTGACCGTTACCATTCTTTCAAATGGAATCATGACTGCGACTGTTTCTTCCATTACGAGTTCAATTTGGGGGATATTGTGCAGGTAAGTGAAAAAATACGATAGGACAGCGAAAAGTTCCTTTATGCCCTAGAAAAGATTAAAAAATTGTTTCTGGCGCACGACTGCAAGTGAACAAAATCCGCAAAGACGCACCAAAATTTTCTTTTATTTGCATAAAGTCACTAATTAAAATGGTGCAATATTTGTCTAAACGGGTGACTTTATTATTTGGACGAGTCTTTCTTCAAAGTCTTGGCGTTGCTCTTGCTGTTGGCCATGGTACTCGTGGAGACGCTGGGCGTCGTCATGGAACTCAGCATGGTGGCCTCGCTCTTCTTCATGTCCTCGATCTTGTTCTTCCGGCAGAGCCAAATGAAGTGATGTCTGAAGGTGACCGCGTACACGATGGTGGCGATCAAAACAACGCCTGAGTAGACCAGAAGCAGAATAAAGACAGTGAACTTGATCCCACTTAATTTCTCCTCTTTTTCGCATTCCTCTGAAAAAAAATGCAAACATAATCCAAGACAGCGCTAAAACACAAGGTTTCAGTGTTATTCTTCTCTCCCCACTTGCATAATGCATATATTCAAAGTCAAAAAACGCAAGTTATGCAACCGCTGCAACCGTAACACTCCTCTCTAAACGCCTAATTGTAAGACTCGCTAAAAAACTAAAGCTAAGATTTTAGACAAAGCTTTTAAAAATTTACCAGCAGCAGCAATAATAGTTGAGGCGTCCATGCCAGGCGCAACAGTAGTTGAGGCGTCCATTGAGCTTGCCAGATTTCGACCACCGATGGCACCGCGAAATGCAAAAAATCACCGCCGCGTCGGGGTTGATCCACTGATAATGAGGATTTCGGATTTTGGAAATGAGAAGTTGGAAAAGCCGGAAATTTGCATTTTCAAAACATATTTTTTTGATGTATAATATTTTTTCGGAAGAATTTTTGCTTGTCAAAATGAGAAGAGTCGTAATACCCACTACCTTAAATACAGATATTAGCACAGTAAATTTTAAAACGAAAAATTTATCCCTTATTCAACCACAAACTTTAGATGACCATCTACAACATGGGAGATGGTGGGAAGCGGGGAGAAGGCTATTCTCATCCGTTCCATATCCACGGAACTCATTTCTACTTGGTGAAGGTCGGATTTCCTCAATATGATCAGAATATGATGGTTACTGACATGAATCCCGATATTCCTTGTTTGAACACCACGGTAATTGAAGTTTTGTTTTGGGATGCTCAATTTTAGACACGTTGTGTTGATCTTCGTTGGACGTACCCCGAATGGTCGGACGGAAATTTGGATGGAATGGAGAAGAATCCGAGCTACAGAGATACAATCAATATACCACTTGGGGGATATATTACAATAAGGTGAGCGGGACTAAGTGGCATAATGACCGCATGCCTTTTTGCTATCCCCCAGTCGTCAGGCAACATGCGCAATTTTCCTTTTATTAATTCTGCTAAAGAGAACAGCTGGCATTAGATGACAATTAGATGAGAATGTCTCAATTCTTGCGCTCTTTGTTAATGCCGACCATTTTAGATTCCGCGCTTCAAATCCAGGATGGTGGTTTGCACACTGTCATTTAATGCTGCATCATATGGGTGGAACGGCGTTTGCTTACCGAGTGGGCACTCACGAGCAAGTCCCTCAGCCTCCGGCCAACTATCCTCATTCTTGTGGTACTTTCAAACAAGACGTAAGCAATAACAGTTTTGCATAGCATCACCTTCAGCATTTTTATGTTTTACTTTCGATATGTTAAATAATGGTTTTATTTGTGATATTATTTTCAGGCCATTCGCCCAGGATCAACAGCTCAAATCAACCCCTCATATATTGCAATTTTGTCATTCCTCCTTCTTATTAGCCTAGCTGGATTACACCTCAATTAAATTTATCTATTATTTGGTCAAAAAATGTCACGCGAATATACAATATTTACACCATTAATTCTAATGCAAATATCTTCTCTTCAGCTGTAGTTTCTGTCGGCCTGTTTAAACACCCTCAAATTTATCGACTAAGCTTTTAGCTGCCTGACAGGCCGTTTTGCTCAGAAGTGGAAAATCGAACCAGCCTTTCTGAAAGCGGGACCAAGGTCATCACAACCCCTCGACTATGACGACACAAGCGGTTTCATTCTTCTCGCTCTTGATTCTTCTTTACAAGACTTTCCTTTTTGCCGCTGGAAAGCTCAACTGAAGGCTAAAACAATTCGATTTTCAGAAGGCTAAAGGAATTCGAATTTCATTATTAGACAGAAGATTTATTATACTTATGATTATCGAATACGTAATTTTAAACATCGCTTGTTTGTTTAAACCAGCTTCTGCTCTCCACCAAGGTCCGCTAAAATCTTTTCACCGATGGCCAAATCCACCGAAACCGCCAGATTGTCCGCCGAATCCCCCACGGTCTCCTCCATTCTGTCCATGTCCAAATCCTCCATTGCTTCCGGAATAAGGACCGGGTTCCCCAGTCCCGCTTGGACTTCCAAATCCACCTGTACCGCCAATGCCCCGGTTTCCTCCTAAGGGTCCGCCATTCTCTTCGCCGCCAAGCCCGGGTTTGCCGTCACGGGGTAAATCCTGGCTGACTTTCCCGCTTTGCTGCCCTTGGCCGTAGCCTAATGGAGAGGCCGGACTACCATTCTGGTGCCGAAATCCTCCAAAATTGCCGTTATCGCTGAGTCCACCGAAACCGCCGCGGTTTCCTCCAAACCCAATACCGTTGCGGTCGCCATCAAACCCTTGAGTTCCATTCTGCCTATTTCCATATCCTCCAAAGCCTCCGGAAAAGTTTCCATGGGCAAATCTAGTGCCATTTTGGTCACCGCCAAATCCACCAAACCCAGAGGAGTTTCGGCCATGTCCAAAGCCGGCACCGTTCAGATTTCCGCCGAAGCCTCCGAATCCTCCTCTTCCGTATGTTCCGTTGTCCTGTCCAAAGCCAGTTCCATTACGGTTTCGGCCGAATCCATTTTGACTACTATTGTATCCATGGCCAAACCCTCCGTCAAAGATACCTCCTTGTCCACGACCGGTATGATTGAAGCGGGGGCTAACTGTCCGGCCACCAAAAAATCTTGTTGAATAAGACGGGGTCGCCTTTGTCGATCTCCTATTTTTCTTGTTTTTGTTCTTTTTGTTCTTCTTCTTATTCTTTGCCGCACGTGGGTAACGTTCATGTTCATGCCCACCTTCAATGCTTGCCAAACCGCCTTGTCCTTCGCTTGGCCCTGAGAAGCCTCCTTGGCCCGGCTGAACTCCGGACTGACCCCATGGCGCATTACTTTGTCCCTGTTGACCGCCAATCCCAAATCCACCTTGTTGGCTTTGTCCAAATCCTCCTTCACCACCTTGGCTGCCCTCGATGTTTCCTAATGCTTGACCGTCTGGCTGCTGGTTTTTGTTATCGCCAAATTGTCCTTCTTGCTTGCCAAAGCCACCTTGTCTTCCACCATGTTCGCCTTGACCTTCAAGGCTTGAAGCCCATCCAGAATACGAGTTTTGAGGCCAAGATAAGCCTGAAAATGTCTACAATTTCGAAGAAACATTAGTTCCACACCACCCCACGACTGTAGGTAATAATAAAACAGACTTACCATCAACCACAAGCAAAACGAAAAAAATATATTTGAGAATCATTTTTTACAACGCAATGCCCTAGATTGTAAACTCGTACCCCTTATATAACCGAGATTAACAGAAAAGGATATTGGACAAAAGGTTGCAAACTACTTTCGAAGGTTTGCCGTAATTGGAGGATTAAAGCGAAAACAACCCTTTGGCTTGTGTCTATTCGTATTTACAAAAGTGAGTCAACAAATGGGATTTGGTAATAGTGATCAAAAGTTGATGCGAGAGTACCTAGGTTAAATCCGTGTAAGCAAAACCCTCTGAACTTTCTGTCTATGACTTATGAAATATGAAGCAAAAACATACGATCTTAAAGCGAGTTTCGAAAAAAAGTACATACATAGATGCTGATTTAACTTTTACATATTTCATGTTTCCAAAAAATGAAGCTTCATTGACAAAATATGGAGCAATCAGCGATGTCCCAATGGCATTATTTCGGAAATAAATAAGATGCATGCGCAATTTTTCGAGGGACATGCGTTCTGTAAAATCTTAAGCTTTATCCCTAAAACATTTTTTTGAAAAATCAAGGTTTGTTTAGCGTGTAAATCTTTGACAAGTCAATTTTTAAAGCCTTTCTTTCGACCGATGCACAGTGTTTTTGCACGGATATTGTCAAAAGAGTTCCAATTTACGATCAAGAGACCGTGTCTTCCGTGGCGGCCAACGTATTCGATTTTTTGCGGGTGGAAATGTGATCAGAGTTATCCTATTTATGAGGTCATAAAAGTTTCAAAAACCTCTTCTTTCTCTTTGATCTGACATTCTAGTTTGTGCATACAATAGTAAGAGTAAACGGCTCGCGTATATACCTTTTGGAATTAGGGTTATCTAGCTTTTTTGTTGTTACAGTAGATATTTTTTACCTTTTCAGATACGCAGTAATAATAGTTGTCGATTAATTAACAACGCAGGATTAGTATGTAAAAATCGAATTTGTTTTTGGAATACGCGATTTCCAGCGAAAAAATGTTTCTGTATTCTTGTGCTTGCTTACTTATGCTACATGAACAAGCTCGGAACAACAGCCGTGCCAGCACGGTGGAACTCTCTTGGCTTGATGTAACACCTTGAACTTATTTCACAAGTTTTTAGTTGACTTTCAGGCCGAATCCATTCGTTTCCTACAGCGAGGATTCGAACCCGCAAGGTGTTGACTGACATGCCGACAGGTAAACCGTTTGACTATTGATACACAGCTGTTATTGAAAATTAACTACTAGTCGAACCAAGCCGCATTTGGCAAGAATACGATGTCCTTAATAAAATTGCAATGGAAGATTGTTCCTAGCCCAATACACTCGCATTACCACCTTTATGTTTATTATTTGACTACCACTAATATCTGCACATAATGAAAACAAAAAAATACAAAACTCATACAAAACGTGTGCGTAATACTGTAGAATTCTTGAAAATATGGGTGCAATTAGAAGATTCAACGCGTACAACTCGGTTTTCAGCTAATAATTAAAGAGGATTGGCATGGAAAAAGAGGCCAGAAATTAATGGAAAGAAAAAGATTATTGTGTCTCGGAAAGATTACAGTAGGCATAGAGAGGACGTAGAATTGAATTTTTTAGGGACTTACGGTTTCTGTTTTACATCAATTGGGAAACCGAAAGTATTTCAAAATTTTTTTTAATTTGGCCGGGAATTTTTGCGCATTCTGATAATTCGGATTGAAAATGGCTTCAAGAAATAAGGCAAATTCCGGGGGATCCAAAAACATTTTCTTCGCGATTCTCCAATATCACTTAGCGGACGGCCTTCAGACGGTTCAGGTTGCAATTTTTACAAAAAAGATGTTGCTCCAATGGATAGCACGCAGCGCCTTCCACTTTCGAGTTGAGTTGCATTCCGCAGTCCTCGCACTTGTAGCACGATACATGGTAGCTCTTGTCCATGGCGATCACACGCGCCACTTCGGTCTCGTTGGCGGATGGAGCGATTGCCTTAAGGCAAACAGCGCAGCGAGGGGAGAATCGGCTGAAATTTGAGGTCTTGCATAAATTTGAAAATTTTAATTAAAAACAAGAAAATTAAAGGAAAAAAGTTAACTAGAAACAGACCTGGTGAGCTGAGACACTAACTCCCCGTTATATATCACACATAAGACTTGGAAAGACTTACGATCTTTCCAGAAGTGACTTACTCATGATAGCAATCCAAACAATACGCCACATTCTCCTTGCTCACGGTGAATGGGATTCCGTCCAGCGATTTTTGACAGCTTGGGCATACGAAACACTCCGGATGGAAAGGCTTTCCAAGGGCTCGCAGGATCTTCTGGGTAATCGGGGTTTGGCATTTCTCGCATTTTTCCAACGAATTCTGAAAGCATGTGAGCTATTGTCTAATCGCACCTTGCGTTAAAAACGAATATCATAAATTGCTTCTACAAACATGACTCTTAGTCTGCTCGGTTTTATTTTTATGAATTTCCCTGAGGGAGGCAATCGGAAACGTTAAAACGGAGAAAATTGAATTCAATTTTGGAGGGTATAAATTTTAAATTGCTGTAAAAACTGTTGGGAAACTTTAAGCCCCGTTTGACGAGAGACTCATACAAATATGAGCAGATAATTTCATATGGAGAAAAGATGGCCATAAACCATGGATAATATGGTTTAATTGGAGTAGCACCACCTTGAAATTTGTTTTTTTTTCACTTCCTTGTAACCAACTTTTCCCATTCAAAATCATCTCTTAAATGCCCCCTTTTTCCTTTCTCAGATACGACGAGTGGAGATAAAAGTGTTCGTATCGTCCCTAATATTTCCCCAGAGGGCAGTTTGGAACACACTTTTTTAAAACATGGACCCGCAGCAAAGGGCCTTAGAGTTAGAATGCCCTTGGGGGATATGAGACGTTGGTACGTAAACCACGTTTTTAGGCGATTGCACCGTGCAAGAGGAGCGATCTTATTGGGAGATATAAAATGTTGAAGTCCTTTTGCTTTAGAAAATTGATGCTTAATTTCTGATGCATTCTTTGTGTTGCAAAAGGAACGCCTCATGGAGAGTAATAAGCGCTAAGAAGAATAATATAAGTCTGATCGTACCATGTAATCAACTTGACACAGATTCTTCCCATCGACATTGTAGAAGGAGCAACCGGCAAGTTGTTTCTGACAAGCATCACACGAAAAACAGTTGACATGATAAGGTTTTCCCAACGCTGTCACTCCGGGGGTGTCAGCGACGATCGGGCTCGAGCATTTGGCGCAGATATCTGGAATGATTTACACTTAGTAAAAACCCTGCGAAATTGACGCATTTTTGGTAATCTTTCTGCTCAATATAAAGTAATGAAATCAACTCTACTATTCAGAATTCTGTTGTTCCCAATCTCCTGTTTACACCCTGTTCTGACATCCAACAAACAGCAATCCCTTATGCAGTATTGTTATTAGCAAGTCGGTTCTAAAGCTAGCTGAAGCCAACCCGTAAACAAACCGAGAATTTCAATTCTTTGAATACGACTACGTTTTTTGAGATGCACTTCGGCATTTTTCGGGTTTGGCCGGAAGTACAGAGCCGAATCATTTAAGGAATTAAAGAACAATGCGGCCGGTTGAGATGCGTCTTAAAGGCAAAGATCGAAGAAAACTCATTTATGGAATGATGTATCGGAAAGGAAGTGTTGCAAAATGCATGTGAAAGCCGAAAGACAATATAATTAACACGAGGCAACATTCGTATACTAAAAAGACTTCTTAATATCAAGGTTCTTTGGCTATACGTCCTCTCCACGTAAACCTAGGCTTATTCAAAATTCAGTCCTCTGCGCTTTCTATGCCCGTTACAGACTACTACAATATCATCCACAAACAACTTACAATCATCGTCAGCCATGTTCTAATCGCTCTCCGAGTCCTTAATGACTCTTTTTTGGAAGTAATAACAATCTCTCTTTTGCTTTTTCGGCGCTAAAAATGTCGGAAAAAATCAACAGAAATGGAGTCCCGGGCACGGTGCGGTGGGAGTACGGAGAAAGGGAAAGATATTTCGCCCCGCCTTTTCGACCAAAGCCATTGAATTTGCGGTCGAAATGGTTTTCTTTGGGAAAAATTTTTGATTTGTGATTTGAAAAAATAACCGCTTAACTTCTTTTTTGAAAATAAGCGGCCCTTCGAACTACTGATATTTGATATCCTCCGGCAGTTTGCTGCTTGCTGTTTACCATTTGTCGTAAAAGCTGGCAAGGGTTCCAGGTCAAAAAAAGACTGATAAAAACTGAATCAAAACCTCTCCCGCAATAACCCACATTCGCTAGCCCAATCTAATATCTCCGCTTTTTCTTTTGTGTCCCAAGATCCCGCGATTTGTAAACACGGCTAAAAATACGCTCTGAAATATCCGCTGATATTTGTTTTGAACCCGCTGAACAATTTCCGCCGAATGCCCCAAAAAACGGCGAGATTAAGCAGGTCCATGGGCAAAAAAAATTGGGAAATGTTAAAAATGATGCATGGTTAAGTGTGTTTTTGCAGCACCCTCAACGGCGGTCTTAAAGGCTTTCGATGACAAGCTTTTGGACATGGAACGTCCCACCACTCTCGCAACGAATTCAAAGCTGGCCGCAAACGCGGTGTTCCGCACCTTTTCGAGCGTTTAAAAAACGTTTAAAATGTAAACGTTTTTTCCAAAGGCCACGACTCCACGCCTGAGGGACAGAGCCGTGCTTTTTTAATCCCCACGTTTTGCTTTCCGCGCTCTTTTTCCCAAATGTTTACAAATTATTTTCCTTGGCCCAGTCCGTTGCCCCAAGTGTTCTCTCGTCTTGCGTCCCGCACGAAAAAGTGTAGGAATTCGGCTCGTTGGCCATAAATAACCAATACGAAAAAGCGAATTAGGAAGAGGACCAGAACGGCAGAGGATTTACTTGACATGTCTCTTGCTATTTTATTTTCATAATTTTTGCTTCAAATCTTAAACAAAGATGGGTTAAACCCCATTTTTTTGACTACGTAGGCTTCTGTCTAGTGTATTGTGTTTTAGACCCAAAACAAACCTCCGTCCTTTGGTGGGGCTTCGGCCATGTTGTGCGCACTTTAAAAATCCCTTACTCTCTGAAATACAAAATTCCATTCAAACCGGCTCTCCGAAAAAACTGATCGCAAAATAAATAATAAACGGGGAAAACAAACAAATAAATAAATCATACATATGGGATATAGAGACAATTAGAAAGCGATGTGTAACTTTTTGATAGATGCCCAATCAAACCGTTTACCCCCTATTGCGAATGAGGTCTGCCTTTGCTACGAATACATCAAAAGTATTCTGAAAAAGGAAGCCTTGATTATTTCACATCTCCCGACATCTTTTGGCGTCTGCAGCACTTTTGCTGTCCTTTTAGATTTGAAAAATAGCCCTAACCTCCTAGCTGGCCAATATATCAAAATATAAATTCCAACCTTAACTTGAAAGTCTCACTTCTTCGTCGAAAAACAACCCAAGGGCCCGCCTTGATGTGAATACAAAAAAAAAACAAAAAAAGAATTCGAATTGGTTGTAACACGGGAAAAGAATAACAAGGCAATAAAAAGTTCTTTACTCACACAGAAGAGAGGTAGAGGGTTAGGATCAAACGTGTGAGCAAATAAATCAAGGAGGCGCTGGGAAAGATTGAATGGTGCAACATTCGGAGGTGTAGTTGGCAAATGTGGGGGAGGTAGGTGGCTAACCCAAAGACAAGAAACTGCTGATAAACTACTTTTGGCAACAATGTGATCCGCAGCAGAGTGTATTGCGAGAACTTCCCCCTTCCATTCCCAATCGGCCAAATATTCAACAAAACTCGGCCTCAATAGCTAACGAATTTTAGCTCCGAGGGAAGGAGAAAACAACACAAAAGTCGCTGTATGGAGGCCATGACTAAACATCCGGAATATTCCCAATCTCTGACCAAAATTGAATTTCGTCTTGCGGAGAGTGCAGAGGGCCTTCTAAAGAGACTCAGCTGAGAATCCCTTCAAAACATTCGCGATAAATATCCAAAACACCCACAACTAAAATTTGACGCTACATCGACAAAAACAAGAGCTTATAAGGGCGATTAAATAGGGGAAGAGTATCAGAAATGTAATTAAGATGTTTTCTTGATTGATAAATAAGTCATGAGAGAAGCAATTTTAAAGCTGTAAATACACGAGAATCAAATAAACAGAGCTGATTGAACTGACAAGCCCTCTTATTACAGTGTTGTAACAGTTCACGACAGTTTAAAGGCCATTCCGATTACAATTTGTTTATAAAAATGAGTGTAAAGAAGTGCTCTCGTCTTTCGATAAGCCGAATTGTAAACAAAGAAAAATGTAAAGACTTGAGAGTTGCCAGGGGCGGCGAGGATTAAAACCATTGTTTATCGAACTTTTCGGGGATTTGAAGAGCAATCAATTACATACATACATGAAGGCAGACAAAGAATTCTGTTTTCCTGGCTTGGTGCAACTAATAACTTTTGCTTACCTTCCCTGTTATTTTCCGTCATTTTTAGCCCAACGGCTGCAATTAGTTAAGCTTTCTGGATCGAAATGAAGTATAAAACTAAAATTTGTGTCAGAAGGAAATTTCTGCCCTAACAAATGATTCACAATTTTTTTAAAAATCATCCGCAGGAATCACTCAGTTAACGTTACCCCTCCCCCCTCCCTTCAAATCCCTTAAGATCCAAATATCGTTATTCGAGAAACACTTATCGTCAGCCTATCCAAATCCCCAAAGGTCAGAAGCGATAAGAAGAGCATCTCAGAAATGCATTAAGTTCAGAATCCATCAAGAATTAACAGCACCGTCATCTCATCCTTCTTGCCCAAGGAAACGTTCCAATCCGGAATTTGAAAACTTTTTTGGGCGAAAGACAAAGGTCGGAGGCGTTTTTCAGCACTCATTTCATTGTCATAAACAAGGCGGGGGTCAGGTGTTTCGCCTTCGGCGTTCATGAAGAAGATGATGCATGGAAAGGGATTGTGAAGAAGAGGGCGATCAGGCTTGTAAATAACGACATATTCGAGGAGAGTGTCAGCGAGAAAGAGCTAATGATTGAAGGCTGATAAGTTCTTTTTGTAAATGCAAACCAAGCCAAAGCCTAATTAGAATACATCGAACAGACTACTGGAACCCAAGGCCATAGCTTTAAAATCTGTTATACGCCATGACTAAAGCGTCCAAAAAATGCAAGAAACTCAAAAAAAGAATCCAAAAAATGTGACAAACAGCTTGTGGCTAACATGCTTGAATGACATCTTCAGCGGCACTTCCCTTTATTGTCTCAAAAAAGGGGCTTTTATTTTTTCTCATAGGTCAGCTACACTCTAGACTCTTCAAACCGTAAATAAAAAATTTATGGCGCTTCCCCTAAACTGTCACATTCACATATTTGTGTGGTCTACATCAATTTGTCAGCGTTGTTAGCAGTCTTAAAAAATCTTATTACAATTGTCGTTTAAAGCATTCATGCAAACTTTAGAAGGGAAGAAAGGCTGTATTCATAAGGTTCAGGGCCATATTCAAAGTCAAAGCTGTATACATATAGGAAATAGTTTCAAACATTTGAAGTGTAAAAGCGTTTTTTCAACGGCCTCACTTGTCAGGGAGAGGGAATTAAGAGATCTGGTTGCAAAGAAAAACTGTAAAAGAAAAATTCTGTATTCAGCAACTGATGTAAAGTTCTTAAAACTCATATAATCTACATCAGCGAATCTTCTAAGAGCCTAGAATTTCGAAGAAAACGAAACGCAATAAAATTAAATATTTTATGAGAACGCCCTCTGATCCCGAAGAAAAAGCAAGAACAAAACAATCCTTCAAATAAAGTCTTAGTTGTCATGTTTTGAAACGATACTCCACCCTTTTTTTAAATCTTGACCGCCTCGTTTTAAATTCTGAAACCCACCTTTGCCAGTGCTTTGACCGCTAATCGTGTTCCGGGACATCTTAGTGTCCATGTCCTTGAAGATCTCGTCGAAGGAATCGTTCTGCCGGTTCCGTCTAATCGTCTCCTATAATCATAAATTAAAAACAACGGCCTCGGAAATACATTGTTCGGGAGTATGTGAAAATAAGCTCGATAACAGATTTTCCTTGTAACTCTCTCGGGATTCGCAGGCTTGCGAAGATCCGCAAAGACTCTGACGCATTGAAAACTCCACGTGACATTGAGGAATAAGGAAATGGAAACTGGCAGTGTTTTAATGAATGTAAAAAAGTATCACTACACTGTTACAATAGCGCAGCTCAACCTTCGACAGCATAAAGAAAGCAAAGGAAATAGGAGAATTTGAGAATTTCTGCTCGAGCGGTCCCGTACTACATATTCTTGAAAAAAATGACACCTCATTGTCGTACGCAAAACCCCAAGGGTGTGATTACAAAAAATTTGAAAGGATCACTTTTATTTCGCACATCCCCAAGGAGAATTTTCCAAACATTGTGATGCTTTCTCAAAAGTCTCAAAACGTTTTAAAACTCAGGCGTCACAGAACAAAGCGTTGTCTTTGCAAAACCTTGCCACATTGGAAACTAACCCCACCCGCCGAACTACAAAATGTTTCATTCGGCATTTTTTGTGCTCCTAAAAAGGGATAAATCATTTAGACGGAATCCGGCCCGTCCGGTTCTGATGCCGTTTCTGGAATAGCATTGTCTCTGGTCAGGAAAGCAAGACGGAGAACAAAAGAAAACTTTCCTCGGCGACAACTAAACAACTTGCTTTCAGCTCGTGTGAGAAATGAAAATCTCGTACTGGGGATTTTAGCCTAGGCGGAAGTGTAATTTAGTGTCTGCAGGAAGAGAAATTATAAAAAATCTGCCCGGAAAATGTGAGTCCACATACAATACGTATATTGTAT